TCCTGTCACTGAGGGCCATGCATTATCTCAGGGAAAAACTAAAGCCCTCCTGCTCCTCCTGGGAGCCCTCCCAGTCCATTCCCACACTGTCTGGAGTCRCCAGCTCCATGGAGAGAGCGTGGAGCTYCCCATCCGAGCTCCCAGCATGAGCCAGTGCTGGGGACAGGGCAGAGGTGACAGGTATYTTTATCCCACCACGCAGGAGAGCTCAAACATCCTGCTGCCAGGAATTTGTTCACAAATTTTCTTCCATTGAAAGAAGAGAAGGGGCTGATATGACTGCTTGATTATGGCAGGGGCAGGCAAGACAGAGGACAGGCAGAGCCTGGGGAGGGGGTGCTCCCAGTCCTTAACCTCCACAGGTGGATGGTTTAGCACCTTAGTGGGGCAGGGGTGGGCATTAAGGGTGATGTGGTCCCAGTTAGCAGTCACTATCTCAAAGACACCACCTATGCTTAGGAGGGGAGATGCCTGGGCAGCAGGCATGGCTCCTTCCTTCCCCGCGGTGCTGCAGGACTGTGCCAATGCTGGCTGCCCACACTGGCTACCCAAGCACTCCCCAGCTGCCCTTGACCAGCAAAAAGTGCAGCAGGAGGGAAGCAGCTCCCCTGCCAGCTGCAGCCCTGTATCCCCACTGAGCTCSACTGGAGCCCATGTGAGAATATTGCTGGGGAGGCCAAAATCCAGCACGTTCAGCCCCCACCAGTATGCTAAAAGCTCTTGCCATTTTCTCTTTTTATCACAGCTTTAGCAGGAGAGCTCCCATTAGCTTTACACATCATCCCTGGGGAAATAGTGCTGATAGACGTGTGAGATCAGGCAGGTGGATTTTCTTTTCATCACATACGTTGGAAAAGCCTTCCACTGCTAAAAGCAAGATGAGACTGAGCCAGCTCTTGCAGACTGCTAATGATTCACCTGGAGGGTCATGGCTGGATTTCAGGCCCCCTGCTCCCCGCTGCTGCCTGGGCACTGCCTGGCCCAGCAGGCAGGGCAGGATCTGGCCCCGAACAGCACTGACTCAGAATGATTTTCCTTTGGGCTGCCCCCACATTTTCCCCTGAATGGAGACAGGTCCTCTCCCAGCAGAGCATTTCACCTCAGCAAATTCCCAGCACTGAAAGTAGCTTTCCTTTAAAGGTGGAGTGATGGCATCTCTGGCTGTGCCTGCCCTTTCTCCCTCTGCTGTGTTTGTGCTGGCCACTGCTCCCCCCGAGCTCGCCAAACTCTGCCGTGCTCACACTCACTGAGAATGAGAAGGAGCCCCTGACACAGGATCCACAGCAGCTTCTGCATGAACATTGTGAGTGCTGAGGTTTATAACCCAGAAAATCTGGGCTCTGAAGGGCTCTATCTGGCGGGGCGGGAGGCGTGCCGCCCTGCCCWGAGCCACTTTTATGCCATTGTGCCTTTTCAGCATTGCATTAAGGCGACCAAAGAAGGGGGATTTTTAATGGTTCCAGGGGAACAAAGCGGAAACATTCGACCCAACTTCATTACAGAATCATCTGAAACGCTTGAGGAACGTTTCCCACTAATTATCATAAATAGCCGAAAAAAATCTTTCCCTCCCAAAGCAGGTTCCAGCTGCCCCTCTGTGTTTTCTCACCTCCACTTCCAATAGCCTGACCCTGCCCCCGCACAAAGGGGAGACCCCATCTCCTCTCCCCCCACACTCGGGGGCTCTAAAGAAATACAAACAGGCAGCAGATTAACAGCACTTGTTTGCACCTTAAACAAACAGGCACTTCCGCCCCTCCGGGCTCTCTCACTGCCCAAGGGAGGATGCACCAGCTTGTTTTTCTTGCCCTTGCTCTCATGCCCTGCCCAAACCCTGGATAAAAGCCTGGGCAGCCCAAGGCATGAGGCAGGCAGGATGAGAATGCCCCATCTGCCCCCGGAGGKGTTGGCCCTGCTGCAGGAGGGTTGTGAGATGCCAAGGGCAGAGCAGATGAAGGAATATCCCCGCCCAGCTCTTGCCCCAGGTGTCTCACAGCACTCCTGGCAAGAGGCAGCCTGATGTGGCTGGATGGGTTTGTGGGTGTGGAGAGGGATGCTGCAGGTGGAGGATRGACAGGGAGAGACATCCCGAGGACACACGGACGTGTGCTGGTGTTCAAACCTGTCACCATCATCGAGACTGTGGGGACCTCAGGCAACTGGRAAGAGGTGTACAGTGTCACAAGCAGCCTGGAGATGCCACATGGGGATGCTCAACTTTTTTTCCAAATCAAGAAACAGGGGCATCGTGTGCAAGGAGCAGTAAACAGAGCAAGAGCAAAGCGAGGTGATGTCTCATTTGGTGCATGGGCAATCCTGGGTATTCCTTACCACAGGGTGCTGTGAATGCTGAAATCTTACCAGAGTTCAGAGAAACCAGAGAAATTCACGGATTAGAAACCACCAACCGCTACCCAGTGCAGTGGTGTGCTGCAAAGGAGTGCAGAACAGAGAGGGTGCACTGGGGACAGCACACTCCACAGCACCTGCCCCAGCCACAGCTCTTCCTGCCAGGAGAAAGGCCTTTCCTTGGCAGGAGACCCCGGGGTGCTGCTCCACAGGCTGCCCCCAGGACACCCTGCATCCCTCTCAGCTCCTTCCCTCCTGGAGTACACCGGAGCCGACAGGGGCAAATGGGAACAGCTGCTAATTCCTCCCAGCCCAGCCCAGCCATTACCCTCCAAGGACTGATCCCAAAGCGGTGGAGGGAGCTGGTTCTCGCCTGTGAGCCAGCTGCACCAGCCCGGCCCCAGGAACACGCACGCTGTATTTTCATTGCAAATTACAAATCGATCATAGCAGGAAATTCCCGTGCTGAGAACACCCTTGGCTGTTACTATTTTACGGCATTCTGAGGCACTTAGAAGTGTTCTGGGCACTTAGAAAGACGTGGCCCTTTCGGGGTATTATGGGGCAAATTAGTTTTAAAAGCAGCTGTAGGAATGTTGGCCATTTGGCTTCCGGAGCCCGATGGGCACAGGTGGAGGCTGCGGGGCTTTGTGCCGCTTTSGGATACAGCACCGCCCTGAAAGAGGGAACCAACACGCTCCGGAGTGAACACCTCGTGCCTGACCCCAGCTTTATTAATAACAAGTAATTAATATGAGAGCGGACGTGCCTTGTGTCTCTGAAGACCTTTTAAGATGTGATTATGTTGTGCTAATCTCACCCCGAAGTACTTCCCTGTTTAGACTGCGCTGGGCCATTAAATATCTGAAAACCCAGCAGAGACCCCCCCTCATCACCTCGGGAAGTGCTCGGGGTCTGTTCCCCAGCAGCCAGGCCCCACTTTCAAACCCTCTAAATCAAGTATTAAGYCGAGTCCATCTGGATTGCCAGTAAAAACACTCCCTCCCCTCATCTGTATCTCATTACCTGCCGTGCCAGCCCTGGCCTCGGAGCCGCTCGCTCCATCCCGCCCAGATGTGCTGCCCCACGCTCGCCTCCCGTATTTCACAGCCGTCAGCAGGACGTCAAGGAGTAGCTGAAGGGCTGTAACACTGCCCAGGTCCTTGGCAGGGATGGATATCCCTGTCCCTAATGCATGGCTGCAGGCACACTCTAGCACAAAGCCCCTTTCCCCCTCCCCTGGTCTTGCACCAGGCAGGGGAACTGGGATGCTCAGGACTCGCTGGCCGGGAGGTTTCTGAGTTCTTTCCCGCTTTTCCTGGTGAAAGACATGTCCAGATTGCTTCTCAGGGACTCTTCCCCTGGGACACCCCCAAGCCAGGCAGCCCCTGTGCCACACCACTGGGGAAGGCCACCCAAAGGCAGGACAGGACGGAGCAGACACCAGCAGCAATGGCAGGGAGCTGAAGGCAGATGCCTGCAGTCCTGTAGAAACTGTGGTGATCATATCTGGGAGCAGCTTACCTCGCACAGGGCAAAGTCAACACTGAGCCTAGAGCAAAAAAAAAGCACCCAGAGACCTGTATAAGGAAGCCCTGCGTTCATCAGCTCAGATGCTCCTGGAATAAAGCTTCCCAGGGAAGATTTCAACACTTTCCGTGATGGCAGAAACCACAGAGGAACAGCCACTTTTGTTTAAGTTTGGCACTTCCCCGGGCCTGGCAGGAGCCCAGGACTGCAGAGGTGAAGGCTCACATCAACCCTTCCTCCCAGGCTCCCCAAGAGACAGTTCCCTGTTCCCAGTCTCCAGCCGGGACTCAGCGTCAGCTGAGGTTATGGTAAAGAAGCACATTGCTGGCAGTGCTGAAATATCGCTCGTCCAGAGGGACTGGGCAGGCAGCACCATAAAGACGTTTTGGAGGACGTGAGATTTAAGAGTGGAAGAAAATCTTGTCTGTGGTGTCACAGTGCCACTGCCTGTGGTGGGTGTGCAGCCCTGGTGACACTGATCCCCCAAGAACTGCACTGACTGGGGAAGCTCCAGCAAGCAACAGGTCACGGCAAGAAAAGCCCCGGGACGAAAACAGTGTTCTCASCAGCCCATCAGAGATGCAGGGAAGGCTTTAATATCAGGGAGGAGGAAAGGGAGCAGGAGAGGGGAAGAGGTCAGTGTGTGATGGGGGACAGACACTGACACACCCMGTAACGCGGCACAGGGAGTGAGACAGCGCGGGCAGGAAGCCTTGCGGTATCTTTTCCCAAGGACTGCAAGCACATTCCAGGGATGGGAGGAGATTCGGGGAGGGGCTCCTGACCCTACGAGCAAAGAGCGGCCGTGTCCGCGGTGTGGCGGGGTCCGGGCTCGGGCGTTTCGGTGGCCGCGGTCAGGCGGTGGCAGCCACTGCCTGTGTCGGGATGCCATCTAGTGTCYCTTGGCAGAAGGGCCGTCAGGCAGGGACACAGAGTAGGGGCTTTCAGGCTCCCAGCATAACCAGGGGTCAGTCGGACAGCATCCCAAAACCGCCTGGCTGCTGGGACCGGCCTGGGTGTMGGGACCCCCACCCCAGGGACAGAGCTCCCTGAGCCAGCACGGCTGCAGACCCCAAAGGAGGACAATTGGGACAGCCCAGGTCATACAGGGGCAGGACAGCTCAAGGTGGGGCCGGGGATGGCTCGGGGGTCCCCGGAGCAGCCAGGGCCTGAAGGCTCAGCAGCCTCACAGGTGGCCCGGGGTGGTGGCGGGTGTCCTGGTGAAGGAGGAGGGCGACCACCCCTCCCAGCARTGTGCAGGCTGCCTGCAGTGCCAGCGCGGCCAGCCCCAGGGCCAGGGACACCCGGCACTGCCATGGRCTGGCCCACAGCGACAAGCCCCAGGCACGGTGACCGCTGGGGGCTAAGGATGGGGAGGCTGGACAGGGGCTTGTGCAGTCTGATGGTGTGGGGACGGGGGACACTGGGAGCAGGACGGTGCCTGCCAGGGCAGGAGAGCGTTGGGGGGCTGTGGGAGTGGGCTGGGCATCGGCTGTGGACAAGCCACACGTGGTGGCATGGTCCCACTCCCTGTCTGACWCAGGAGCATGGGGTGATGGTGAATGTGAGGCCAGTGGGACTGTGCTCAGAGCAGCTGCCCTGGGGAATGGCCAGAGCACCGTGGAAGAAGCTGAGACAAGGGAGGTGATGGGGGCTCCCTGTGGGATGAAGGCTGGCCTCCCCCCGGGCACTGAAAGAGCAGGAGACTCTTGCCTGGTGGTGGCTTCCTGTGGGCTTGTTGGCACCGATGTGGTGGCAAAAGCTAGGGTGGGTGGCACAGGTTCTGTGTGGGTGGCCCCAGGAGACTGCAGCCTTACAATGGCTGAAGGTTGAACAGCTGATGATGGGGTGGTGATGGAAGCCTTGGGCATCTCAGCTGATGATGATGGTGTGGCAGTGGTGGCCTTTGGCAGCACAGCTGGCGATGGGGTGATGATGGAGGTCCCTGGCAGCACTGCTAGTGGTGGGGTGATGATGGAGGGTTTTGGCAGCACAGCTGATGATGGGGTGGTGATGAAGTTTTTTGGCAGCACAGCTGGTGATGGGGTGGCAATGGAGGTCCCTGGCAGCACAGCTAGTGGTGGGGTGATGATGGAGGTCTTGGGTTTATGGGCTGTTGATGGGCTGGCAGTGAAGGCATTCCTCAGCACAGCTGGTGGTGGGGTGGTGATGGAAGCCTTGGGCATCTCAGCTGATGATGACAGTGTGGCAGTGGTGGCCTTTGGCAGCTCAGCTGGTGATGGGGTGGTGCTGAAGATCCCTGGCAGCACAGCTGATGATGGGGYGCTGATGGAGGGTTTTGGCAGCAGAGCTGATGATGGGGTGGTGGTGGAGGTGTTGGGTTTATGGGCTGTTGATGGGCTGGCAGTGAAAGCGCTCCTCAGCACAGCTGGTGGTGGGGTGGTGACAAAGGCCTTAGATGGCTTGGTTGGTGACAGAGCAGAGAAGGCACCCTCTGTTGGCATGGTTGGCAGCACAGCAGAGGTGACCACAGGTGAAAGAGTGGTTGGCAGTGTCCTGATGGGAAAGGCTGCTGGTGACAGCACGGTTGGAGCTGCTGTGGACACGGCTCCGTGTGACAGCAACGTCGACATCCCTTGTGATGATGTGGGGTCAAATGGCAGAGTAGCTGCGCAGATCAAGTGTTCCTCCCTCAGCAGTGTCACTGCCTGCCCTGCCAGGTGGGGTGGGCTCTTGCAGGAGATTTGGGTGGACAATTTGACCTTGTCACTGTTGCCCAGGATCCAGTGGTGCAGGTAGCAGAGGTTGCAGTCACATCTCCATGGGTTACCACTCAGATACACTGAGCTGAGCTTCTTCAGAGGGTCTAGGAGCCCTCGGGGAATACTCTCCAGCTGGTTCTTTCGAAGGTTGAGGGTTTTCAGATTTGGGAGGGAAGCAAAGACCTCTTCATCCAGAGCAGAGAGCTGATTTGCATCCAGCTGGAGGTCCAAGAGCTTGCTGAGCCCAGTAAAGRCTCCTCTGGGCAGGGCTGATAGCTGGTTGTGGGACAAGATGAGTTTGCCAAGGGATGTGAGGTTGACAAAGATGCCATCTGGAAGTGTGGCCAAACAGTTCCTGCCCAGATCCAGCTCCCTCAAGTGTGGCATGGCATCAAAAAGGCAGCAGGGGAGCTCCTTCACTTGGTTTGAACCCAGAGTCAGCAACTTCAACTTGTTTAAACCGAAAAAGGCCTGAGGTGGGAGAACCCTGATGAGGTTGTTGTCCAAGAGGAGTTTCTCCAGGTGAGGCAGGCTCCTCAGAAGCAGGGGTGGCAGCTCCCTGAGCCTGTTGCTCTGGAAGCTGAGCTCCTGCAGCCCCAGCTGACTGTCCAGCAGTCCCTCAGGGAGATCCTGCAACTCATTCTCGTACAGCCGGAGCACTTGCAGCTGGGRGAGGCTGCTGAAGGCATTCACAGGAAGAGCTGTGATCCTGTTTCTAGACAGGTCCAAAAAAGTTAGATTGACAAGAGAATCAAAAACACCTTCTGGAAGAGAAGGGATCGCATTGATGTGCAGGGAGAGCTCTYCCAGACTTTCCAGCCCATCAAACAGGCCCTTGGGGATGTGTTTGAGTTGGCTGTCTCTCAGCTCCAGCCGCTGTAAGCTTGGGAGGTTCTGGAAAGTGCCCACAGATAGTTCTTCCAATGAGGCACCAGAGATGTCCAAATCCCTCAGCTTGTCCAAATTATCAAAGGCTCCAGGCTCAACAGTCTTGATCTTGTTGCCAATGAACAAAATCTTGACCAGGTTGGGCATGTACCTGAAAGCACCTTTCCTTATAGCAGTGATGCTGGTTTGCACAAAGATCATCTCAGAAACAAAGGGCTTTGCAATCTTTGGGATCTCTTTGACATCATTTTTTGCTCCTCTGTAGACCTCCTGGTAGTCTTTGGGCATTTCATATGGATCTTCACTCGGGATTTGATCTTGGCATTTATGGGGAGTGAAGGAGAGGAGGAAAAGGAAAAGAAGATGCTGGTACATTGTCCTGAAAAAGRTTTCAAAAATCAGTTATGAACCAGAAATCTCTGTCCACAGCTCATGAACTGTGGCATCACACTGTTGTTCAGCTCTCAGAACTCTTCTATTCACATATCATGRCTCATTTCACGAGAAAGGGAAAGACTGGACAAACAAGTGCTACATTTTCACGATTTCACTGCTGTTGGTACCAAGGGATGGAGAGGGAAAGGGAGCCCGCTCATGGCTTGCACGGGGAGATGCTCCAGGGGACACGGGCTGGACAGTCTGTTCTCTGGCCCTCCTTCTCACATGTTTGAGCTGTTTGCTCAGTGTCTGCCTGGGTGAGGAAGGCAAAGTGCTGCTGCCATTAGTGCTGCCCCGGTGGGCCCAGTGAGTCAGCAGGGCAGCAGCCATTCACACAACAACAGGAGCACTCAGCCTGCACTTGCTAATGAGGGCTCAGCAAGGCTCCCAGGAGCCAGCCCAGACCAGAGSACCCGGTGTACTCAGAATTTCACACTGTGCTGGGTGAACTCACCATTTCATTGCTGCTTCTCTCCGTTCAGGGGGCTCATTTAAAACACTTCTCTTTTTCAGGGTTCTTGCTGATTGTGCCATATTTTGGCTATGATTATGCAGCTTTGTCAGACGGAAATAGTTAAATTACAAGCAGCAACCAAGCTTTAGAGCAAGACTCATTAAAACACTGTGGAATGTCCATGAATGGACTCTTGATTGCCTAACATTTGGGGCTCTGACCCTGCAGGTAGGAAGCGATCACTGATGCACAACCTAGTAGAGCCCGCCACTTTCATGGAAACATTTGGAAACACTCAGCTAACACATTACATGGGGTTTAACTGCCATGAGCACCTCACTGGGACCATATTTCCAACTTTTGATTCACAGCCCTGTGTGGGAGCAGAGAAAAGAGGAATGGGTTGCTTCTTAGATGTCCATCAAATGCTGGCTGTGCAAAAAAAAAATGTATTCTGGGAGGGTAAACTTGCTACAAGAAGTTATTAAAAAAATAAATGTTGAGAGGTCAGCAAATACAGAAGACTGAAAGCCACTGGGTCTGAAGAGAAATGGATGGGAGGTGCAATCTGTGCACAGGCTGCCCTCCAGGGTTTCCAGGGCAGAAGGAACTGCTGGTCCCTGCCCATCCTGTCCCCAGGGAGGCTCAGGTGGGGCTGTGGCTGTACAAGTGTCTGCTCCACTTTAGCTACAGGGACAGTGCAAGGAGAGAAATGTGCAGGTGAAAATGTCTGGGTGTGTGGGGATGAAAACAGAGAGTTTTGAACCGCAAGGCTCTTTTGAAACCCTCACTGTAGTCCCTTGCTTGTCCCCCACTGCAGCCGGGCAGGGATGGTCCCAGCTCATGGCACTGCAGCCTCCTCTGCCCCTCGCTGCAAGGAAATTACAACAGCCCTCCACACCACCTCCCTCCCCCCCAGCACATTTTAAAGAGGAAAAGAAAAAGCATTTTGCATCACTTACTCGGCTGAGCACCTGCAAACGAGTTCAGCCAGCAGAGCAGAGCGAGCCATGCCATGCCAGCAGGGAGGACACCCTCCGGGGGTCCCATCACCTGGCCAGCTCTTTATCCACGCCCCAGGCACGGGGCTCGGTTTCACGTGAGGCCAGGACACAGTTGTGTGTGTGCAGATAAGGGATGGCCGGGGAAGGCCACGGCACAAACCCCTCGGAGGGGCCGCAGTCACGTACTCCCCAGGCGTTATCTGCTGGCACCACTCGACTGAACATCCAGGGAAACCTGAACATCKCCAGGCCAGCCTGTGCTGCAGGCAATGCTCTCTGCGGTCCTGTATCTCCACTGAYACAACAGAAAGCAGTTTCATTCCTCAGGATTTGCCTTATCTAGCTAAAGGATAAGTTATGAAAGCATTTGAAAGCATATGAAAGCAGTTCTGAAAGCATTTTTTAATGCTTATAAACATTAAATGCTTAGAAACRTCTGTGGCTGGACAGATAGAGCACCCAGGCTCTGTGCTCAGCCCCACAGCTCCACACCTTGCTGGCTGTAGTGTTGTGTGCTGCACCCCAACGCAAGCCAAAGCCCTCCCTCAGTGACACCCAGAGCTCCTGGTGGTGCAGAGAATCTTGTGGGACACCCTTTTTGATGCAAAGACCTAAAGTGACAGGATATCCATGGTTTCAAATGGGTGATTGCATGGATTACATTTAATCATGTCTTCTTCTGTTTTCACCTGCTTCTRTAAAAGCTCAGCTTCTGCTTGCTGGGCTTCATTGCACTTTTCTTGGGAAGTTTAAAAACAAACTACTGCACATCTTAAACAGCCTTACCCCTTTCCAACATCAATGTCWTACCCCTCCATGTTCCTGCTGGATGCCAGGCTCTTCCAGAAGCTGCAGGGTGGCAGGAGCTGGTGTGGYTGAGGGGACAGAGCTCACAGCAGGATTGTCACCAGCTGCCCAGTCCACCATGCCACAGCTGTGCCCGGGTTTGGGGAGCTGCATCCAACCACAGCACCCCTGCCCAGGCATGGAGGCAGCCACGCCAGCATCACCTGGGAGATGTCTGCAGCACGGTGGCAGTCCCACGATGGYGAGAGGCAGCAGGATGGCGGGGCAGGATTGTGTCTGGGGAGCGGCACTGCCCACCTGCCTCCTCCCAGGAGCGTGGGGCTGCCAGACACAGAACCACCAAGGTCAGGAAAAACCTCTAAGATCMTCRGGCCTGACTGCTTACYCTGCACGGCCAAGTCCACCMTTAAACCACRTCCYTAAGTGCCACCTACACACATTTCTTAAATCCAGCATCCAGAGCAGGACTAGGATGTCAGCCCACCGCCAGGGCAGGTGGGGCAAAGGTGGCACAGAGACTCTGGTCCCCTGGGGCTCCAGGGACACACAGCCCAGCAGCGGATCCAGCACAGCCCCCTCCAGGACCGCCACGGCTGGGCCAGGGCCGGGGACAGGGATAGGGACCCGAGGAGCCCGGCGGGGAACAGGGAGAGCTCCCCCGGCTCTGCCGAGACCGCACAGCCCCGTCCCCACCGCCGCCAGATGGTGCCGCGACACCGCCGGACCAGCGAGCACAGACATGGGACACGGACAGACACACGGGGACACAGACAAACGCACGGGGACATGGACTGACACACGGGCAGACACACGGACAGACACACAGGGACATGGAGAGACACACAGGTACATAGACAGACACACGGACAGACACACGGGGACATGGAGAGACACACAGGGACGGACAGACACACAGGCAGACACACAGACACACGGGGACGGACAGACACATAGGGACACAGACAGACACATGGACAGACACATGGACGGGGACACGGGGACAGACACACGGGGACACATGGACAGACAGACGGACACACACAGACACACGGACACACAGAGACACACGGACACACAGACACACGGACACGCACAGACACACGGACACACAGACACACGGACACGCACAGACACGCGTGTCACAGTCCCGTGCGCACCGTCCCTCGCCCTCCCGGGGTAGCACCCGCCTCACCTGTCACCCCTGGGTGGGCAGCGCTGCTGGGACTTTGTGTCGCGYCTCCCAAGGTCACAGAATCGTCATCACAGGATGGGTGAGGTCAGGAGGGACCAGTGGAAGTCACCTGTTCCAAGCTCCCCACTGAAGCAGGGTTCCCTGGGTACCCAGGGCTCTGTTCAGATGGCTTTTGAGCATATGCAGAGATGACTCTACAAGATCGCTSGGCAACCTGTTCCACTTACCTTCCCAGTAAAGTTCTTCCTCTGGTTTCTGTGGAATTTCCCATATTCTATTTTCAGGCTGCAGAGCTGCAGACCAAGCCCTGGCAGGGTGGGGGGCCCTGCCGGTGCACAGCTGGGCTGGAGCTCACCCTGCAGCCAGGCAGCTCAAACCTCTTACTGGGCAACCAGCAGCACTCGCCCACACCTCCTTTGGACACCACAAATCTCTGTCCCGAGGGATTTTCCGGGCTGCAGCTCGGCCCTTGTTCCCTCTGCAGTGCTGAGGGAAGGTGGCTGCAGCAGGCACACACAGCACACCCTGAGCATGCCAACGGGGCACCCACTGACCACCAGGCACCAGTGCCACACCCTGCACAGCCCCGACAGGACCCCAAAGGACCAGAGTGACCGCCACTGCCTCTCCCAGATACACTGTGGGGGCCAACAGAACGATTCCTCTCTCCGCCATGGGAACTGGTTGCACAGAAAAAATAGATACGTTTTAATTATATTTGAAATACACAGGAAACACRTAGCTGGGAGGATGAACACCGCCAGGCCAGCTGCTGCGGAGAGCTCGGTGACAGCTGTGGCCGTGGCAGTGGCAGCAGAGCGAGACGGAGTGCTGTTKGTTTCCCAGGCTGGTTCAGAGGCTGCCTGAGCTCTAGGGCACGGTGGGGACAGCTGGYGACGTGCCCTCATTCCCGCTGTGTGCCGTGACAAGGACACTGACCTGCAGCGTGCCACAGCGGGAGCGCAGCACCCAGGCTCCCTGGTACGCGGGCCCCAAGCCCCGCTCCTGCCCTGGAGGAGGAGGAGGGAGGCGAAGGCTGAGCTGCTGGCAGGCTGTGGCATTGCAGGCCACGCTGACAGTGCCCTCGGGGTTGCTGTAGGTGCACTGCCCCGGAGCATCCTTGTCCCAGCCTCCCTCCGRGGGGACACCGTGCGCTCCCGGGCACTCCAGCTGCCCGCGGGGCACCTCCAGCAGGGTCTGGCCCTGGAGAGCGGCTGGGCTGGCRCACAAGGCTTGCCCGTGGATCAGGGGCTCAGCAAAGCTCTGGAGCCAGCGCAGGAGGTAGGAGAGGCGGCAGTCACACACCCAGGGGTTGTCAGACAGCCCCACACGCMCCAGTTCATCGTTGGCATCGAAGAGCCCCGGGGGCAGGCGGGCCAGGCGGTTGTGGTCCAGCAGCAGGGCGGTGAGCAGGGGCAGCCCGGCCAGCAGCCCCGCCGGCAGGCTGGAGAGGTTGTTGTGGCTCAGCTGAAGCTCTGCCAGCCCTGCCAGCTCCTGGAAAACCCCAGCGGGCAGGTGATCCATGGCGTTGTGCGACAGCACCAGGCTTTCCAGCACTGACAGGTTGGCAAAGAGCTCCTGGGGCAGCGTCTCCAGCTGGTTGCGAGCCAGCGAGAGGTGGAGGAGGCCSGGGGTGCCAGCGAAGAGGGTGGCGGGCAGGGTGGCCAGGCGATTGCCCTCCAGGCTCARGACAGTGAGGTTGAGGAGACCCGTGAAGATGTCGGGGGCCAGGCTGGCCAGGGCGTTGTGCTGCAGCTGCAGCCGCCGCAGCCTCCCCAGCCCGGTGAAGATGCCCGAGGGCAGCTCCTCCAGCCGGTTGCCATCCAGGTGGAGCTCGGTCAGCTGGCCAAGAGCCCTGAAAGCAGCGGGAGGCACACGTGCCAGCAGGTTGTCACTGAGCTTGAGGAGACGAAGGGTGACCAGCGGGGTCAGCAGCCCGTCCGGCAGCTCAGCCAGGGCGTTCCGGGACAGGTCCAGCGCCTGCAGCCGCCGGAGCGGGCGGAAGATGCCGGGGGGCAGCGCCTCAATCCTGTTGTCCGACAAGCGCAGGTCCTGCAGGCGGCACGAGGCGGTGAAGAGCCCCGGCTGCAGGGTGCGGATGGTGTTGGCACCCAGCGAGAGCTTGCTGAGGCTGCTCAAACCCGCCAGCACCCCCAGGCTGACGGCCGGCAAGGGGTTGCCTGACACCTCGAGCTCCGTGAGGTTGGGCAGTCCCTGAAAGGCGCCAGCCTCCAGCTCCTGGATGTGGTTTTTGATGAACACCAGCTTGGTGAGAGTGGTGCTGGAGCCCAAGTCCCCGCTGCGGASGCTGCTCAGGGCTGTCTCCACAAAGAAGAGCTGGGTGGCACTCCCTGGCAGGCCCTCCGGGATCTCCCGCATCCTCTCGCCGGAGCAGAAGACTTTGGAGGTGTCGTAGCACTGGCAGGATGGGGGGCAGGATGGGGGCAGCCCCCCCACCAGCAGGGACCCCAGCAGMACACACATCACCAGCCTGCACTGGAGAAGGAGCCAAACCTCACCCCGTGCCCTGACAGAAATCTGCTCCCRCAGGCCGTGCTGCTGGGGAAAGCTTCTGCTTCTGCAGCCAGAAATGCTGTGGGATCAACCTCTGGGACACCACCAGCACAGGCTGCCCTGGCCATGGGGCATCCCTCCCCAGCTGTCAGCACCTCCCCAGTACTGCCTTTGCAGGAACAGGGAGCATTTCCCTACCAAATGTCTCCCGGGGTTTTATTCTGTGCCCCAGCCCACTGTAGGACACAACTGGGGCAGTGCCACCCTCACCAAAGGTGACCAGGGCCACATCCCAAAGAGCAGCAGCTGGGGTGGGACCTGGGTGGGTCCGTGCAAGTCCTGGGGGAGCCTGTACCCTCATCAGGTGTCCTCACAGGCACAAAGCCAGGCTCTGGGACAGGAGAGTATGTGAACCCAGGGCTATGCTGCCCATACGGTGGGTGATGGGGGCAGCACTGCAGGGCTGCTCTGTGCTGTGGCACACAGTGGGCTCCACCACTTGCATTTCTGATTGCCCATCACGTAGTTCTTTTTCCACAAGCAATCAGGGCAGCACCAAACCTGATGGAGGGATGTTCAGCCTGACCAAACACCTCTTGCCAGCCCATGGAGGCATTTTTTGAGGCAGTGGCCTCCAGAGCTCATCAAGTCCCTCCCTGCTTGGGATACATGCTGGTGGCTGCCTCGTGATGGGGACATTGCCCTCCCCACAGCAATGCCCATCCCATGGCAGTGGAGCTGTCCTGGAGCTCTCCTGGGCTTACACCCACACCTGAGAGCACTGCTGGGCTTGGCATTTCCTTTCCTCCCTCTCCCTTGCTTCACCAGAGCCAACAGTGGCTCCCGTGTGCCCCAGGCCCCCCAAAGCACCCAAACAGAGTTCCCACCACTTACCACGTGTGGCATCACGGGGACGGTGGCTGAACCTGCGGCAGATTTGCAGAGATGCCGCTTGCCGAGATGGGACGGTGTTTCTGGGGCGGATGGGAAGCCAGCCCAAGGCAGGGACGAGCTGTTCCTGCTGGGGCGGAGCTGCCCCTCGCTGCTTATCGGCAACAACAACCCGTGTCCTTGAAGCACTTTGAAAAATAACCCGGCCCCGGGGGGACTGGAGGTGAGGCCAGAGGCAGCCGCCTGTGAGCATCCTGGCAAGGAAGTRGGGTCCTGGCCCCGGACATCCACTGGCCCTGGGATGGTGGCAGGGTGCTGCTGTCACGGGGCCTCCAGTCCCACACTGACATCAGCATGCTTGCTTCCAGAAGCCCCCTAAGAGAGCCCTAGGACTTTGTTAAATCTCTCTGGGAAATGGTGCTTGAAATACCTCTGCCACAAGAGAAGGGACCAAGTGCAGCTTAGCAAGGCAAATGACTTGGATTTGATTTTAGAGTTCCTTTCCACCCTTATGATTCTGTGGGGAGGGGGCCACTGTGGGCCCATCGTGGTGGTCACCAGGGGCTCTGCAGCCCAGCCAGCAGAGGGATGGTGAGGGACCCATGGATCAGCTGGACTCCCTGGGAATTTCAGCCTGTCTGGAGGAGCGGCACACTGCAATAAGAACTGCAGTGCAAGGGCCTGTGTTGGAACAGATCAGGCAGGCAGCAACCATGGAGGCACCCCAGGGGCAGGAGGAGGGACACTTTACACAGTCAGTGTCATGGAGCAGACTGTGACCCATGGAAAAACTCAGCTGACACAGCCCAGCGGCAGGCAGCTCTGAAGGGAGCCAAGCAAGCTCCCCAGCACCCCAGCAGTGCAGGACACAGTGAGTGTTTACACTGAGAGGCTCACTGAGGTCTCAGCTCACTCTCCAAAAGCCCTCCTTGGTCCAGCATCCCAGACTGGAATCTGGACACCAGCAAGGGCTGTGCAAATACAGCCCACTGATCCCCATCCTCACCAGCCTAGACAAATTTTCCTCAGCACTCTAAAAATCTCCAAGGAGTGGAAATGGAGTGCAGCCCCTGTCCCTGCTGGGCCATTCCCCTGCTGCACACCGTGAAGGAGTGAATAAACAGCTCTTGGCACCCGGAGTGGACAATGGCACTTTAATGGGAAGGTCACACATCAGCACCCAGCAGCCCCGTGACACAGTCCTGTGTCTCCTGTCCCCATGCAGGACCCWGCYCAGAGCAGTGGCCCATCACAGGCASCAGYGTGGAGCTGCTTGTGCCAGCASTGGCTACGARGTGCTGTGAGCAKMCAGCACTAYGGRGWGGGCACTGAACGCACACGTGTCCCAGAGCAGCACTTCTCAGGCAGCCTGGTGCCACTGTGTCACACACGGAGGTGAGCTGGATCCCCCAGGGTCGTGCTGCAGCCGGAGAAGGCAGCTGGCTGCAGGTGCTGTGGGGGATGGCGTGGCACCCATCTGCAAATTGCAGAGCAGCCAGTGCYGGCTGAGCCCCACCCTGTGCTGCCAGCATCCCCCTGCCCAAGGGCTGCCAGCAGGCAGGAGCACTGGGCACACACAGCAGGGCACTCACGGGGGAAAGAAGAGACTGGAGAAGCTTTGCCAAACAGAGCAGGACCAGGTTTCTCACTAGCTGGTGGAGAGTGTTGAGGAAATGAGGCTCAGGGATGGGGTGCGGTAGAGGCAGCCCCAACATGCTCCAGCAGCACAGGGGCACAAGGACAGGAGCTTCTCCCAGCCCCTGCAGACACTCCACCCATGGTCCCACTCCTCTAACTACCCTCACCGTGGGGCCAGTGCAAGCCCCTGGCACGCTGTGGGGCTGAGGCAGGGCGCTGCAGGCGGGGGCACGGCCGCAGCAGGGTCAGCACCAGCACGCAGTGAGGGCAGAGGGATGCTCCTCCTCTCCAGCACTGCCCCTGCCTGTCCTGGTGCACAGCAGGCGGGTGCAGGGAGCAGGGAAGGTGCTGGCTGTGCTCTGGCCTGCCCTGCCTGCAGGCAGGGAGGGCAACTGGGTCGCGGCTGAGACGCTCAGGGTGTGCCAGCCTGGCAGTAACCCAGCCCCACAGGGAGCCCTGCCCAGCACCAGCGGGTGACAGCAGCACAAGGACACRCAGCTCGCCTGGCTCTGCTCCTGGCCCGGAGTGATGGCTCACACCGCCTGCCCGGACAGGGGCAGGGGAGTATGGCGGGGGCAGGAGGTGGGGAACAGGGGCTGGGCAGGGCTGAGGGCAGCAGGCAGCACCAGGGCAGCAGCCCTGCAGGGAATGATGCAAGGWGAAGGATGGGGAAGCCCTGTTATTTGGGGTAAGCACCATCACGGCCAGGATGTGGCTCCTGGCTTGAGGGGTCCCKCTGTGCATCCCACACCTCCGCTGCTGGATCCGGGCAGGGAATGAGCACAGAAGGTGCACTGGAGGCAGGAAGGGCTGGGGAGGGCACTCAGTGGGAGCCCCGCTGCGGAGCAGGGGCAGGGCAAAGCGGAGCAGGACAGGGTACACACAGCACACAGCGTGACACTGCCCCGTCCCCGTCAGCAAGGGCAGCTRTGCAGAGCCACCGTCATGTCCTCTGACCCCACAAGCACCTCCGCCCTCAGGGTCTGCCAGACGCTCAGGCTTCATTGGGCGCCTTCATCCTCATGAGCACGACGTGGCTCTTCTTCCTGCAGCCATGGACCACCAGTGCCACCAGAGCGGCCAGCAGGGCCACACACACCAGCACGATGACTGCTATCACCACCCCGCTCTGCAGGCGTGTCAGCCCCCACTGCCCCCTCTCTTCCTCCTCCTTCTCCTCCTCCTCCTCCTGTGGGGAGGCTGGCAGCTCCGTGAGGGGCTTCATCGAGGAATCCTCCGGTGACGCTGCCCCAGAGGTGTGAGCAGGGAGCAGGGTGCTGGGATGGGGAGCAGCAGTGGGGGGCTGGGGGTCRAGGAACTGGTCCCGCTGCAGCCTGGCAATGGGGATGCCCTGCAGGGCGGGAGGCTGGGCACACAGCGGGGGTGTTTCACCCACCTTGTGGGGGTTCTCCTCCAGCCAGCCCTGCAGGGGCAGGATGCCCTTGTCACAGCGCCAGGAGTTGTTGTGCAGCCTCACCTCTCGCAGGGCAGTCAGCGGGGAGAAGATGCCTGCAGGCAGGTACTCGAGCGCGTTGGAGTGCAGCTGCAGGTGCCGCAGCCCCGGGGTGGCCCCGAAGAGGCCCCGCGGCAGCGCCTGCAGCTGGTTGTGGTGCAGGGAGATGTTCTGCAGCTTGGGSAGCCCCTCCAGCGCCCGGGCATCCAGGCGGCGCAGGGCATTGGAGTGCAGCGACAGCTCCAGCAGCTCCCCTAAGCCCTGGAACGCCCCCGGCGCCACCGACCGCAGCCGGTTCTTGCTGAGAACCAGGAGCTGCAGCTGGGTGAGGTTGCTGAAGACGGCGGTGTGGAGGGTGGAAAGCTCATTCTCGTAGAGCCAGAGCTCCTGCAGGTTGGGCGCGGGCCCGAAGGCGCCGGGGGAGATGTCCCGCAGGCGGTTGACGTGCAGGGTGATCTTGGCGAGGGCGTGCAGGGGCACGAAGACGCCGCTCGGCAGAGTGGTGAGCAGGTTGTTGGACAGATAGAGCTTCTGCAGGTTGGTGTTGTGCACGAAGAGCTCCGGGGACAGCGTCTCCAGCTGGTTCTGGTGCAGCCCCAGCTCCTGCAGCTCCGGCAGMGCATCGAAGGTGCCCAGCGGGATGTGCCGGAGCCGGTTCTCGTAGAGCCGCAGCACCTGCAGCCGCGCCAGCCGCTCGAAGGCCCGGGGCGGCAGGCGCTCGATGTTGTTCCTGGCCAGGTTGAGCTTGGTGAGGCTGGTCAGCTGGTCAAACACCCCTTCCTGCAGCTCCTCCAGGTTGTTCCCGTGCAGCTGCAGCTCCTTGAGGTTGCTCAGATGGGCGAAGTGGGAAGGCTCGACCTGCAGGATCTGGTTGCTGGAGAGAAGCAGAGATTCCAGCTTGTCCAGCGGCTCGAAGACCTGCACAGGGAGCTCCTGCAGCTTGTTGCTGGCCAGGCTGAGGTAGCGCAGGTCGGGCAGGTTTTGGAAGGCGCCGGGGCTGATGCGCGACAGGAGGTTCTTCTCGACGCGCAGCCCGATCAGCAGGGAGGCGTTGCCGAAGGCGGTGTCACCCAGCTCGGCGATGCGCGTGTTGATGATCTGCAGGGTCATGGCGTTGGCGGGGATGGGGCTGGGCACCGCCGTGATGTCGGCACCRGAGCACTCGACCTGGGCGCTGCGGACACACTGGCACTGCTCTGGGCACTGGCTACTGGCCAGCTGGATGCCCAGCAGCAGCAGCAGCCACCGCTGCCAGGCCCCCTGCTCCATCGGGCCTGCAGGGAAAACAAAGGAGAGGGGGGTCAGTCCCTGTGATTCCCCATCCCCCAGGGCCACTGCCAGGGATGTGTGCTGCTTTCTCCAGGGCCATCCTGCCCCCAGCATGGCAATGAAGCAGAGGAGGGCAGGCAAGGAAGGCTGAGGGCAGGCAAGGCTTGGCATAGCCCAGGCAGGAGCTCAGAGCAAGACAGAGCTGGGGGCCACGGTGCCTGGCTGCCACACCACAGCTATTAGAGGCATCCCTGGCGTCCCAGCTCTCTTGGCTCCTGTGGCAGCTGMGAGCGTGGTTTCCTCTTTTACAGAGTGTGGTGAGCTGCTTCCAGCAGCACTGCTGGCACCACCAAAGAGCCAGGACCTTCACCAGAGCTGGCTCACGGCACCCACAGGGGTCCCAGCACTGCCCCAGCACCCTGAGCACCCTCCTGGCTCTGAGCTCCTGCTGCAGAGCCAACAGCAGTGCCTAGGGATGCTTTAGCTCCAGTCCTGCCAGAGCCTGAGTCAACARGACCCTTGGCAGCTCCCCAGCACAGGCTGGGTGCGGGGTGGCCCTGCCAGGGCCAGCTCTGGCCTATTTTTGCTGTGGCAGGGGGTGTCTGATGGGGGCACATAGATGCAGGCTGCTCCCAGGGGTGGTGCCCAGGGAAGCAAGAGCCCTACAGAGAAGTTCTCCATTACCCCACAAGCACAGACACCATGGACACCCTCACCTCCCTGCGCTGGCCTGGGAGTTTCCTCCCTCCCTAGATTAAAGCAGCAGCCTTGTGCCAGCCTGGCACGGAGCAGCCCCCAGTAACAGCACATTACACAAGTGGCACAAGTGAAGCAGAAAACCTGCAAGTCCTTCTGCTCCAGGCACAGCTCAGCTTTTAGGCAACTCAGGCAGCACAGGGGTGCCCAAGTGCCCCAGCTGGCACCCAGGGTGCTGGGGTACAGCCCTCGCCTTCCTCCCCTCCCTCTACCAGGGAACACTCTTGCTCTCAGGCAGGGAGGGAGGAACTCTCCACAAGCCAGCACTGTTTATGTTTCCCATATGGAAACAATCTGCATTCAAGAACAGCTTTGTTTATAGCAAGGCATTTATAAACTTCCCCAAAAGCTCGACACATCAAAAGCCCTGCTCATGTCACTCCCTGGTAAGGCAGCGCTGAGAGCACCCGCACTGGAGCAACCTTCAGGAAAAGCAGCTGGAAACAATTGATCTCTCTTTTTCTTCTAGGGACAAAAAACTTACAGACCAAGAGGCTGAACGCTCCCTAACTGCTCAGCCCCTCAGCATCTCACTGTTSCTAACATCAGCCCCCCAAAATGTTACTTTGCTCCCCTCAATTTTCTCCATTGGTCATTATCTGGGATATACTACCTATGTAACTTCTTCAGCTCCCACAGCCTCTAAGTGTTCTCACTTTTTCCGAGAGCCCTTGCGAGATAAACATCTCCATCAAATAAAAAGGTGCTGAACGTGCAGATCCCACCACTCCACCACCAACCCTCGGAGCTGCCCTGGGATCAGTCCCTGGGATCTGCTTCCACTCACAGGGGCAGTAGGAGAAGGAGACTTACCCGAGTGTCCTGCAGCCACGAGCGCTGAGCGAGCACAGCTCCGTGCTGGCAAGAGAGCAGAGTGTGGTTCATTCTTCCCCTCCCAGTATATAACCCGTCCAAATCAATGAATCAGCACAGGGGCAGTGGCGGGGTTAGGGAAAGCGCTGGAGCAGAGCTGATTCCAACTCCTATTTCCTCAGCAGAGCAAGCATCTCGAGGAAGGAGTTTTGGGTTTTCCTCTGCAGAACCCCAGTGCTCTCGTTTAAAGACAAGCCCCGTGAACATGCTGCTCATAACAGCCAGCACMCAGRCAGCATCCCTGGGAGTCCCCTGGTCCCCAGAGGGACACAGCTGGGTGTCCTGACCCATGGGAGCAGGTAAGGCAAAGCCAGATGGCTGGGCACAGCCCTGTCCTTCCCTGGCACCGAGAAACCCCCATTGCAGGCATCCCTKCAACCCCAAAGCAGCACAAGGGCTGTTCCCCAGTGGCTGCCACTGCGCTGCCCCCTGAGCAGTCCTGACACACAGCTCATGGAGCCTGGCACCCAGGGCTGTTTGGAAAGCATCCGAGCCATCCCATCAACTTGTTCAGGAGCAACTGCTGCCACCCCTCCCCTGCTGTCACCAGTCCTCTGCCCCCTCCAGCCCACACGGGTGCACCGGGATGGTCCCCAGCACCAGGTCTGCCCACCTCGCCCACCTCCTCAGGGCAGTCCCGGTCCAGCACTGCCGGGAGCGGTGTTCAGGAGCAGCAGCTCGGCACAGGCACCGTGCGTGGCCCCTGTGGGCTCCCTGAGAGCCACCGCAGTCCCGTGCTACCCACGGGGCAGCTGCAATTTCCCCTCCCCGCACCTAATCCCGTCTCAGCCCACCCATGTTTCCGCCGATTGCAGCAACCCCTGCTCAGGTTCCGGGTGGCACTGACGAGCTGCTCAGGATGGGAACAGCGTGGGGCTGCCGGCGGAGAAGGGGAGGAAATGTGTCACGGTGTGAGGGGTGGGAGCGTGCAGGGCAGGGGAAGGGATGGAGAACCGCTCAGAGAGGGGACCGGAGCAGGATAAAAACGGCAGGGATGGAGAGCAGAGTTCCCAGACAGTCTCAGCGCAAGGAGACAGGGATCGTGGGAAGATGGTAGGCAGTGAGACCTCGGCCGGAGGCCACGGCCACCGCTGTGTCACACTGCATGGGAGGCGTATCTGCCATGGGACATGCTGGATGGCCACGGACCCCTCCCCGGCTGGGGAGCGAGCACAGAGGCTCAAACTCCCCCTGGCCATGCTCCCCGCCTGTTCTGGGGCAAATCCCGGGCATCTGGGCACAGAGAGCAGGCATTTGGGAAACACCGCCCAGCAAGTGCTCTCGTTCACATTCTATTGACTCGGCAGCTTCCCAGAACCACGGTTCCCAAAATAATCTCCCCCCTTCTGTGACAGAAATGCAGCTGGAGGTCAGGCCCTGGGCTTGGGAGCTGCCTGCTCGCTGCAGCCCCGGCACCAGAGCAGGGCTCTCACAGCCTCATCACAGCCTTGTCACAGCCTTATCACAGCCTTATCACAGCCTCATCACTGCCTTATCACTGCCTTATCACTGCCCTATCGCCGTCTCTGCCCGTTACCAGCGCTGCTGGGCTCCTGCCCGCCCTGACTCATCCAGAAGCTCTTTTCAGCAAGGCAACACAGGAACCAAGCCTCAGCACTTCCGAAAAACCACTGCCCCGAGCCCAGTTCGACACAGGAATGTCGGACTCGCCTCCTTGCAAGCAGCGCTGCCCCAGGGCGGACAGGGATGCARTTTGTACCTCAAACATCTGCCCCGATAGTGGGGGAGTCATCCCATTGCGGTCCCTACCTCCAGAGGAGCCCAGGTAACAGACCTGACAAAAAACCACCTGCCTCTACCCCGGCCCCCGGAAAGTGACTCTGGCTCCTGGCTGGAACAGATGATTGTGTTCGAGACATCCCTGAAAATAAAGCAGGGCTGAGTAGCAAACGGCACAAGCCCGTGCAGCGCTCCAGGTGAGCGCACAGCTCGCCCCGGGCTACTGGCAAGGGAGAGAACGGAGGGTGTGGGGGCTTGGCACAGCAGCCCGTACACACCCCGCACATCTGGGGGGAGAGGCAGCCCCCGAGGCAGCGAACGGATGTGATTGAGGTGAGATGAGCGCTGTGCAGGGAGAGGCGGCTCCGCACAGCCGGGAGCTCRCAGGGCGCTGTGGAGAGGAGCGGCTCTCGKGCTGCAGGRAAGCCCCAGGTTCAGYTTTGCTCCGTGGACCTTTCCCACCKCCAGCTGCACCAGCCAGAGRCTGAACACCCCCCGACCAAGCCCTGGACGGTGCGGATCCACTGCCGTATCCGTGCACCTTCAAGGAGACAACGGAGCCCCAGAACAGCAGCATCATTTRTTTTTTGGGATGTCTGCCTTGCTCTCCAGGACAGCAGGGCAGTCCCGTGTCTGTCTGTCCATGCTGGCACACCTCCAGCACATCCCCACGGCCAGGGTGGCRGATGCAGCAAAGCTGAGTGGCTCTGAATCACCAAGGGACTCGAGACTGCTTGGAAAAAYTCATGTAATCGCTAAAATTAGCAGCTTGTGGGCTTGGCCGGGAGAGAACATTGTTCATCTGCCAAGCAGCTGAGCACGCTCACTCACAGTACACAGCCCCAGCTCCTCCCGAGCCCTGTTCCCTGCACACCTCCAGCTCCTGCCTGAATTGGCACCTGGGGCGGGATGGGACCTCCCCAGGCCCTGCCGCCCTGCAGTGCGGTCCTGGAACCGCCCCAGTTACTTTGCACTGCTGCTAAGTGCCCACCCTGCTATGAAACCCCCCCCCGGTGGCCCCGGTGTTCACAGCTGGTCCCGGGCTCCAGGCCAAACCCCGCTGAGCCGAGGAGGAGGGTGGAGGGCTGGGCTAGGGGCCACAGAAGGAGCCCTCCCCGTGTTCCAGCACAAGGGAACGAACACCTCTGTGCCTGAGCTCTGCAGCAGGACCCAGAGGCTCAAGCCATAGCTGAGGGSTGAAGGAAGGGGCAGTCAGCCCTCAGAGACTGGGGCTGGGGTCCCCCCACCCTTTGGGAAGCAGCAGCAGCCCCTGCCTCACCCTGCACCCACTCCCAGCCTTTGAGGAGCCCAAACCAGAGAGCTCGTGGATCGGGGCCAGAGATCCTGGTGACATTTTCACTCTCTGCTTGAGGAGTGCAAGGCCAGGGCTGTCTCACTGCTCATGGCGAGATGATGCTCTGCATCTGCCCCAAGGGACGGGGACATGTCCTCCCCTGCCTGGGAAAGTGCTTACACAAAGTGGGAACATGGGGAGGGRGCAGCAGCAGTTTTGGTGCATCCCAGGATGGTCAGTGGGGATGGCCATCAGGCCACCCTCCATCCAAGCAGCAGCACCAGGCCCCACGACCCTCCTGGAGCTCAAGGAAAAGGCCATTTAGGATCTCAGGCTCCAGTGGGGTTCACCCCAGCAGCAGAACCGTCTCCTGCAGGCTCAGCCCTGGCCGGAGCGATAGCAGCAGCACGCAGGGCTTGGCCCCGGCTCAGAGCAGCGCTAGGCTGGAAGGAATGCGGGGCYGCAGCCAACTCCGCCTGCAGAGATAATCCGAAGCGGAAAGAGCTTGTCCGATGTGCGCTGGGAAAGGGGGAAGGAGCAGCTGGAGCAGGAGGCGATGGCAYGGGGCTCACACACTGCGGAGCGTTTGCTGCATCAGCTTCATCTCTGTAAAGTCCCCCTGGCACTGTGAAGTGCCCCAGGGACCCCTTCCCAACACACAAAGGGGGAAGGGGCCTCATTTCTTCCCAGTGGAAGCCAGCAGAGGAGTGAACAGCAGGCTGCAGAGCTGCTGCCAGCCATCGCTGGCTCTCTGCCCTGAGCTTTTTTGCATTCAGAAAGACACAAAGGCACAGCTGGAAGTCTGGCGCTCCAGCCCCACAGCAGCGATTGCTCAAAGCCCAGCGGTGGAGGGCTCAGGGTGCTGCTGGAACAGGAGCCCCCACCGTGCAGTGAAGTGGGACTCACTCCCCTTGGCCCAAGTAAGAGATTATGCCAGGGCTTATCCACCCCTGAGCACCCACATGGCAGTGCAAACCCAGATTTTGGCTACAAAAATGGAGGCAGAACATATCCCTGGTTTGCTGTTCCCTAGCAGGGACAAAGCAGGAGCTTCAGGCCCTSTGCTCACTGTGTGTCGGTAAACACTCGTGGCCAGGCGTGTCCTGTGAGTCCGTGCCTTTGGCTGCGTCTCCTCCTGGCTCTCCAGTCATCCCTGGGAAGTGCTCTGGTATCAGGGCTGCCAAATCAGCAGCTCCAGGCAGGACAGGCTGGTTGGAGACACAGCCAATGCTCCAGGATGTCAGGCTCCCAATGCTCCTGCCTTGCAGCCAGCAGCCACACACACTCCTGAACCACAGAGCTGTTGGGGCCTTCTCCAAGCAYCTCTGCCATCACCCTGCTCCTCTTTGCCATCAGGAGAGCACAGRTCCGAGGTGCAGGCTCTGATCCTGCTGCTGTGCACTGGAGGGCTGAGCAGCGTTTCACAGGCAGCTGCCCGAGCTTACTGCTCCCTGCAAACAGTGTCCTCCAGCAGTTCCTGGCCTCACAGGGCAGAGGTGGTGGGATGGAAAGGACCAGGACACCAGGAACACAAGGAAAGGGATGTGGCTGCTGGTGGCTTGAGGATACTGCCAGYGCTTATGGTAGCAGCTCATTAATTTACCCCCTCACCCCCTGTGCTTTGGGGACTCTCTGGATTCAAAYCCCAACAAGCAAAGGAGAATGGCATTTGTAGCGACATCAAGCTGGAAACACACTGAATACWCTCATGGCTTGGCACAGGGTGGGTCAGAGCTCCCACTGCTCCAGAATTTCCTAAAGCACAGAAAACAGGAGAAACTGCCACAGAAACAAGCAATTGAAGGGACCGAGTGAGCTGTGGCTGGGTGGGCACTGGTGGCCTAGTGATGACATACCCCAGCATTCCCAACGAAGATGCAGCCCTGGAAGCAGGACCTGGACAATGAGCAGGGCTGTTARCCATGACTCTGCACCCTGTACAGGAGCCAAGAGAGCAGAACTGACCCCTTCAGTGTGCAGAYGTGCCTTGCATCCACCCCTTCCCCAACAGATGGCACCTGCTGGACCAAGGATCAGGTACCACCAGTTTTTCCCAGCCCACCCTGGTGGCAAAGGCTGGGCAGTAGATCATAGAAGCGTGGGCTGTGGGGACTGAGAAAATCCCTGCACAGAAAATCCCTGAGGCAGCAGCGAGGCAGGGCTGTCCAGAGAGGGTCTGGGGATCAGCCTGCTGCCTTCCTGCCTGCCACAGCTGCATCGTGCTGAGCTGGAAGACTATCCCTTCTCCAGGAAAAACAGAAATGGGGTATAAACACAGATATCCTTGGATTTCTCAGCCAGGGAGTTTTTGAGGAAGGGCTGAGTTCTGTTGGGCAAGAARCAATGAATCAGAGGCAGCTCAAAACAATCCACCTCAGAGGAAGAGTTAGTAAGCCACCCCAGGCACTCATCTCTGCAGCCTTTTGTTGTSTGATGACTTCACTTCCCCGTCTGGCTCAAGCGCGGGGAAAGCCCGATGACAGCGTGTGAAGTGGAATCATCCTGGAAACAGGAATCATCCTCATCTTAGCACTTGACTGTCCCAGCTCTGTGCCAGAGTCCCCATGAGCCGGAGTTCAGTGGCTGCAGYGGAGCCAAGGAGCAGCGTGGGGACAGAGCTGGCTCCTCTGCAGGGCTGGGCACCCAGGAGGGCACCCAGGAGGGTTCAGAAAGGCGGCAGCAGGAGCTGCCCTGCTGCTCATCAAAGTGCTGCCCCGTACCATGAGCAAACAGGCGCTTCTCCTTAGAAATGAGGCACTGTGCATCCAAGGGCCCGGAGARCACTTCCTTCACTGAGGGGAAGGTCACCAGCACGGTTTGCAGAACCATTTCCTCACCAGTCCTGGTTAGCTGATCTGCCTGCTGCGAGCAGATGCCTGCGTGGCACCGTGCGACAGCGCTGGGGCTGGCACAGCACTAAGTGGTCATTACAGCTGTCCAACCAGATCCTAAATTTGTAACAACTGTCTCCTCCTAAACACTACATGCAACCACGCAGCACCACCACCGAGAAAGCCTCCTGTTGGTTTTGTGCTTCTCYCAAATACATTGCAATAAATATTCTGGAGCGTCTGTTTATGAATGCAGTCACAGTCTGCTTTGCACCATGCAGTGACTCGCATTTCTGTTTCTTTAGACATGGCTCTAACTCCCATTTAATCAGGTTTGCTAAATTCTCGTAAAGCTCACCAGCAAGACAACCATMATTTAACACCACAGAAGCACGCTGTTTCTTTTCACAGCCTGAAGAGGAATTTAAACCCAGCAGCAGCAGAGCATCCTGAAACAAAGCAGTCACAGTTTATTCTCACTGCCTAGAGTAACACACAGCAGGGAACCAGCCATAAACCTGCAGCAAAAGCAAGCTTTCTTCACCTCAAGTCTGTCATGTGCATTTAAAGGCCATCTAGGAAAGTCCTTAACAGTTAGAAAGTCAGTAAGGCTACAAAAAGGACTCCTGGAGCAGAGGCTCTCCAGCCCAAGGAACCAGGGAACCACACCCAGACATTTTTAAGGCACAACATCAGTGCTTTCAGAAAAAACAAAGTCCTACAATGTAGATAAAAGCTAATAGTTAAATCCAAGACTTACCAAAGCACAGGCATGCTGACACTACCAGTCTAGTTATGAACTAAAATGTTCAGACAATTCAAAATATTAATAAAATTTTAGTATAAAGACAAACACACCCTATTGCCTTATAGTTGCCTTTTCACATCAACACTTGAAGAGGATGAGAATAGCACTATGATATAAGGTAAAAAATAGTAAGACTGAAAATGCAACTGCACACTCCAAGCTGATGGATTTGTGGACATTACCCAGCCAACTTCAAAACAGAGGTGACAACTTCACAGCCTTCAGTTCAGGCAGGCTCCCTGCCCCTCGGCYGCACGGTGCTGTTTTCCTAGCCAAGCCCATGAGAGACCATTCCCTTCTCTCCCAGCTCAGTCAAGAGCAGCTCTCAAACCAATTCATCCCTGTGGAGTCCATCCTCAGTCCTGGGCATCTGCCTGGTGCTCTGGTTTCAAGATTCCCTGCGTCATGAACCAGTAACACCTTGTTTTTTCAGACCACTGGCCAAAGTTTAAGGATGAAAGTGTTTACTTAAAATTCAGAGTTGTAGTAATTTTACAAAATTTCCAGAAAACCTCCAAGCAAACAATAAAATACATCACGATTATACTTCCTAGCTCAGCATCTTCCTCTGCTGTYAGCTTTAATTRRTGCCCCTTCCTCATGCCACATCCTGGAAAGCGGCTGAGGACAGAAAGCAAAAGTTAAGACACTTGCACCACACCATTCTGCCCACATCCCTGTTGCTTAAAGGTTCTTCCCAGCATCTCTTCCCAAAAATACCATTTGTTTTCTCAGTAAAGGGACAAAACATAGCAGGCAGTATAAGGCAGATAAGGTCCAAGCCCTGGAGTACTTTGGGCAATCTCTGAGGCACRGTTGAAGCTCTGTTCCTACGTAAGGGTTCCTGTGTTGATGGCACTCCACTTGGCAGGCAGCAGCCTCTGGCAGGGACAGGGCTGCAGTGCAAAGCAGGAAACCCACAGCACACGTGTTGAGGTGACCACAGATACTTTCATCTCACCCTCTGGGTTTGTGCACCATGTGCTGTAGCAATTTTACAGTGATTACAGCCACTCTTGGCAAATGCTGTGAGATGTATAGAACTCATTTCCATTTTGTTGTAAACACAAGGTCTTCATGGTCTTTGCTAYGAATATTTGTAATCCAGATCTGAATTGAGTATTAACTGCTCAAATGTTCCAAAAGCATCCACTTCTAGTTCTTTCTTGGGCTAGATTTCTCTATCTTCTTMTTATTCTTATCAGAACTACAGGGTGAGCAAGAATATTTCTGGAGTGCAAGAGCTGCCTGGTTTTACCCATCACATACAGACTGAGCACAATGACTACAATCTGGAGTGCTAAAATCAAACTGTGAAGGCACAAGAACAGCTGGCAATAAGTAACTCTGGGATTAAAATAGGATTTAGCACTGCTGTGGGCTGGAAATTCATCCCACCAGACAAGAGTAGTTAAATCTGTCCCTCTGACGCTGTTGGTTCGTGCTACAATGCTGGGAGAAGTTTGGACTGGAACATCTGAGAAATGAAACCCAGGTTGTCTGACATCTTCAACATGAGAGTAGGTAAAACCTGGAGYTGCAGGAGGAAGTGATGTGGGTGTGCTGATGATTTCCACGTCGGACACCATTGTTACAGCAGCCTCCCCAGAGGATGTGAAGTGCTCTGTCACAGGAGATGTCAGAGTCTGGGAGTAAGATGAGCTCAATGTCTGATGTGTCATGGCTGTGGCTGCCAGGCACTCTGGGTCATCGATGCTCAGAGACACCAGAGGAATATTCTGCAGGGCCATTGGGCTGTGGCACGTTAGGGATGGCACATTTTTAACTATCATCATGCTCTTTTGAAGCCAATCTCGGAAGCCAAGAATTTGGCAATCGCATTTCCAAGGGTTGCCATCAAGGACAACGTCTTCCAGCTCAGGTAAAGCAGTAAAGAAGTCTGCAGGAAGCCACTGAAGGTTAGTACCATTCAGGTAAACTTTCTGGAGYTGCTTGAGATTATGAAAGAGGTTTCTAGGAAGAACCTCAAGCCTCGTATCAAAGAGGGAAATGTTCTGCAGTTTCTGAAGGCTCAGAAAGATTCCCTCTGGCAAACTGGAAATGTTACTTGTATGCAGAGAAAGGCCCCGCAGTTCATTCAGGCCACTGAATACATTCCTAGGAAGAACYGTAAGCTCTGGGTTAAAACTCAGCACGAGAAGCTCTAAATTTGTCAAGTTGCTGAACACAAAATCTGGTATTGTTGAGAGCTTTGTGTGATACAGCCACAGGCTACCAAGATGCCTCATTTCTCCAAACAATACTTCTGGAAGAGACTTCAGTGGGTTCCTGTACAAGGTCAGTTTAGACAGGTCATGCAAGTGCAAAAAGAGCCCAGAAGGCAACACCTGAAGCCTGTTTCTGGACAGTGTCAGGGTTCTCAGTTTACCAAGACAATGAAATGCATCAGGGGCAATGGAATGGATGTTATTGGAATGCAGGAAAAGCTCCTGCAGCTCCTTCAGGCTATCAAACACACCAGACTCTATTGAAGACAGCCTGTTAATATACAGCATCAGTCTCTCAAGCCTGGCTAATGCACTAAATATATTCCTAGGCAGTGCTAATAAGTAATTTCTTGACAAGTTCAGTACTCTGAGTTTGGTGAGTTTCTTCAGCACACCACTGGGAAGTGCAGTTAGTTGGTTTTTATTCAAGTAAAGCTCCTGCAAACTAGCCAGTCTGTCAAACTGATTTTCCTCGATGGATTGCAACCTGTTATTTTCAATGATCAGTTGTTGAAGCTGTACCATGTCATCCAATGCTTCTGGAGGAAGTTCAGCCAGTTTATTATCTAGCAGTTTGAGGACTTTCAGCCTTCCCAAGCCTTTAAAAGCCATTGGTGAAACCACAGCAATGTTGTTTGAAGACAGGATGAGATGCTGCAGGTCCCCCATCCTCGCAAAAACATCCKGCAGGTACGATACATTAGCATTTGTTATGTGAATTGCTGTCATGTTGCAAGGCAGATTTAATGATTCCAGGTCTTTTATGTGGGGGCCAGAGCAATAAATTGCATTTTTTGAAGAGCAGTCGCACTTCTCAGGACAAACAGATGCCTCCAASTGGAAGAAAAGCTTGATCATCACTGACAAATGAAACACCAACATCCTTGTTGAAGTGCCAGAAACATCAGCTGTTGCAAGAGATAAGAGAGAATCAGGATTTGATCACAGGTAACTTAGCAGCTCACAAAGATGTGAGATTGTATCATAAAACCTGCAAATGTGTGCAAAATTTCCCTTGCCTTGAAAGCAGACTTTAAAATCTCTTTTATTGTTGACTGCGAATATTTCTAAAGTGCTCAGCTTACACTGAGAAGCACAGATAAACTTACTTTTGTTAATCAAGTATTCCTTGTTTGTATTTGTACCAGTTAACTATAACAAAAGTATACAAAAACTATGATCAACTCTAAGTAGTCAAAAGATATGAATTTATTTGAACAGAGMAGCATTACAGGATCACAGAATGATTTGTTTTGGAAGGAACTTTAAGGATTATCTATTTCCAACTGACAGGGACATCTTCCACTAGACAAGGTTTAGTATATTATACTAAATGACATGCCAAAAATATTTTAAAAAAATTATCAAAAGGTCCTGCAGCCATAGTGTTTTTCTATTGTAAGTTATCTGAGGTTTAAAAACAAAGCTTAGCCTGCAAAAATAGACAATGGAGGTAAAAAGGTTGTCCTGTATTTTAAGTGGCGAAAAGCAAAACAGCATCGTCCAGTTGAAAATGCTGACACATGATTTAAGTGATGGCTTCTTGGAACAGCCCAGGAACACACAAGAAGGAACAGGCTATTTCTGACACAGCCTGAAATAACACAGAAGACCCCATGTGGCATAGGACAGTAGTGAGACTGATAACCAACAAGTCTCATTTCAACAGCTTAGCACAATACCGAGCTATCAGCAGTGGTATCAAAAACAGTGAAATGAGAGGAAAGAAGTTCACCCATTTAGATGGAAAGCTGTAGCAATAAAGGTAGGTCTGCATGAAACACAACACAAAGTTGGAAAGTTGCATACATGTCCAAACGAAGAAAGGAACAGGAAAGCAATCATTGTAGCTATAAATGGCAATATTTAAAAGAGCAAGCCAAACAAGCCCACAGTCTRGAAATACTTCCTTCATTAAATCAACAAGTCCAAGTCTATCAGAAACCTGGATGTCAAGCACCTGGCTCAGCAGCACAATAAGCAGCAGCTGGAACAGCTGGAAYAGCTACACAACTTCCCCAGACATAACAGGAATATCTGACACCGTGGGAGCCTTCTGCACCAGGAACAAGRGGGGAGAGGAGGGCTCCATCCCCACAGCCCCTTTCCAGGGGCAAGGATGAAACTTTCCCATAGCAACCCCACAGACAGACAYGGGTACAACCCCCATCACTTAAACAAGTCAGGAGGGACAAGAGCTTCTCATGTACCTGAACTGCTGACAAGAACATACCACTATAGACCAAAACCAGCTGCAGATCAGATCCAAACCAGCTATAAAAAAATTAAAAATTGTATTTAGGTGCAGAGTACTGAAGTCTGGTAAAATCTCCATCTCTSCCTCAGGAAGGGAAGGACATGGCACTTAGTGCTATCAACAACCAGCAACACAATGCCACAAAAGATCTCAGTGGGCTTTCCATAACTCATTGAATGAGACATACGCATCACCAAAAAAAAGAGCATGATTTCACTCTTCCAAATGTCTTTGACATGCCAAACAAAAWTTTTTTCAGAGAATCTCGCCCTCCTAGTAATCTTCTCCACCCCAAAACTCTGTCTCATAAGCCAGTGATGCTTTTAYCTCAATATTTGTAACTCCGCCTGTCCCTGATCCTACCTATCCCCATGAACAGAACCCTCCATACAGACACACACTAAGAAATTTCTGTTTCAAGCCCTGACTGGCATCTCAGCCTGCACCAACTTAACTCAAGGCCACAGCAGAACTACAGGATTCAGTGAGACAAGAGAAATAAGGATCTAGAGAACCAAATGTGGGAAAAAACCCCCAATTTGTTATGCTAGAAACTGCAAATGCAGGTACCCCAGAAGGCATGATACAGGCCAGACTGTAAAATCAGAAACAAACTAGCACTAGATCATAGATTCATGATGTCTGTTTTCCTGGTCTTATAGGAAAAGATAAGAGAGTATACAAGAAAACAAGATTAATGCTCAGAAATGCTAGAAAGCACTAGTTTTTATAAACARTCAATGAAATGGTAGAAATTCTTCGTAAGATATGAAGACTACAAGTGCTGGCACAAGAACTGAAGAAGCCTGTGGGTCTCAAACACCTAGCGAGGCTAACAGTATATTTAAAGATTTTARCAGTACAGAATACAGTAATACCCACAACAAAGATCACAATTATACATTCCCATGCATTAAAATTCTCTCAAACCCTCACCTGAGACACCTGGCATTCTAGAAACAGCACCAGCCTGGCTGCTCATTTACCATGGCCTGGTCTACAACCTCTCTCCCTTTCAGCCACCCCTTAATATTTCTCAAAACTACAAAAGGATGCCAGAAGCAACACATTAATACTKTTACTATATTAAAAGTCTCCAATCAGGTTGGAAGTAAAGTTTAATAGAACACTGAGCACATGTATTGCTTACAGTGGTGCTTACCTCTTTTACTGTCTTGCAGGTTCCTAAACTCAAACAAGCATGAAAAAGGAATTTTGAGCTGCACCTTAGAAACTTATCTGCTTTTTAAAGGAACTTACAAGGAGCAGAGCAGGCAATCAGGCTTCACCATGACACTGCACTTTAAATGGGAAGTAAAACAACAAAACGCATCCTCTAGATAACACTTCAACCCTATCTGCCTGCTTACTGAGACAGGCCAAAGGCCAAACAATATTTTAAGCTTCAGAGCAGATTTTTGCCTACAATTGTGCAAGCAACCAACTTCCACAGGTTGCATGTAACTCCAAAAGCAGGTCTTGAAACCAGTCACAGAACAGGAGAAAGTTCTAAGTCACACACACACACAACAGCATAAAACCCACTTGCAGCTTCTTTGACAATGATATTTGAGTATGTGCTTCAGCCAAGCCAAAGGAAATCTGGGTGMAGTCAGAAATCTACATTTCAATGTGAAATGTGTTCAGAAACTTCAAATTGGTTAAGACTGTTTCACCAGTCTGGTACACAGGTTTTGAAGAAGCGGACACATCCACTCCAAACAAACAAGTGCTCGTACCTTCACAAAGGTGYTCTGACTTATATTTCCTTGCAGGATTGGAATCAAAGCAGTTTCAGTAAAAAATGAAGGGTTTTTTTACTTAATGCTTTGGCTAAGGTTGACATATTTGGTTCCCGTTTGTCCTTAAAGTCTTCTGGAGTGGCAGGCCAACAAAACCTAAATCCTGAAATATCTGAAACAGAAAAGCCAAGTTTTAAAAATAGAAGCCTAAAATTTAAAGAGTAAGTTTTTGTTATTAAGTAAAAGGTATTTTAAGTATCTTGTCTTCAAGTTTAAAATAATGTGCTTTGGCCATGACTGGGCATTCCATATTCACTGGAAGGTGAGCCACAGGGCAGAAAAGACATCTTCATTTGCACGTGCTTTTTCTGAAGATGACCATGACAATGGTGACAGCTCAGATCAYGCCTCCCTCGTGTCAAAACAGAAGGAATATCTGAATAACCGAGGGTGGAACAAGTTGCTATCACATGTACAAGGTCTGGCCTTAGAATGGCTCTCATAAGGCACCAGGTAAAGCTGCAGTCAGTCTGATCCCACTGCAGAACACTAACACAGCATCCACCCTTCCCACCCCATCTGCAAAAACACAGCGGTGCTGAACAAGGTATCCCTCACATCAAGGACACAGAACAAATATGTGTTCTTCAACAAGCTTTGCATCTAATTTTATAAAGAAAAATTAAGAACAATTTCATGAAACTAATGAGAAGAGTTAAAATATCCATTCATTTTAATTTTATTCTCAAAGAGCTTCAGTCACAAAAATGATTTACAAGTCTATTTACAATTCTATTGTACAGTTATGTATGCCTCTTGACAACAGGGTACCATTCTAGAGCAGCAATACATATTTTAAATACAAAGATGTAGTATCATTTCAGATCTAAAAATAAAAACGAAGCTGAGCTTCTAGAGAGCGCTTTAATGATGAACATTTTAATCTGTGTTAGGCTTGAGGAATTCATGACAAACTAAGTAGTTTCTGGTTTACATAATTATTAAACAAGCTGCAGTTTGTTGAAAATAGTTTTAAAAACCTGAAGCTTTACTGTATATAAAATCAACATATTCAAGACTCTAAAAATTGTCAAAAACCCACAGCTTTCCCTTAGACATACAAAACCCTAAGTTTACAATTCAGAATTTCATGGGAGAAATCSTACAGGACTTGAGCTCTCTCATTTTGTGATGACCAACATAAGCATTAAAAATTTGCAGCATAAAAAGGACTCCACATCTGCTTATTAGTATTATACTGCATACACATATACAGTACAGGATCATTTACCCAATTTGGGATGACTGTTCAGCACAACCTTCATGAAGAAAGAAAAAAAATAAATAGAATTAAAAATCCAACAACTTTTAAAAAGTGCAACAGTAAGAGTTTCCAATTTAAAGTTACGAYGAATATGGACAGTCAGTTCTGTGGGTTTTTTTAGCCGCTTCTATTCAAGCATTATTTGCAGCATTTCCTTTTTACAGTAGATTTAGTTCTATAATACATGACACTAGAGTTACTGCTAATTGAATCTGAAGGGAAAGGAAAAAAAACCTTTAAAAATAACCCTGAGGGATATACAATTTCATGATCTTGTAATTTATTTCTAAAAAGTAACRTTTATTATTTAGCAATTGCTTTTCTGGATAGACCAGTCCTTTAAGTATGTGCATAAATAATATTTAAAAATCAGTAATATTTACAAATCCTAATACATCAAAATAAAATACATACAGATTAAAGTCTGCATACACAAATAATTTAATAATAAATCAAACTYCTCAACATAAGGCCAAAATATACAGCAGGAAGAAAATGTCTACCCAGTATCTAGTGGAGCTCACTAACTTGGTCTGTTCATCTGAATTTAGATTTCCAAGATGAACACTAGAATAGATTTTTTTCACTACAAAATGAATTTCATCTTACTTGAAAACAGAAACTGAATACACTAGTGCAGATCTAGTTTGCTGCATTTCTGAAAACCAGAAAAACTAAACTGCTCAAAATGAGAAAAATTATAGGTGGTCAAATTCAGCTCTTGGGCAGGAAGGCATAAATCCCAATAATTGCAAAAAATGCAAAAGCTTATTTTGTGGCTGAACTTGCAATAMGAAGACAGATTCTCAGAAAAGCTGATTTATTATTCTTGACTATGCGTCAGAGCTCAAGCATGCAACCTCAGGAACATTTACCAACCCTGAACGCAGACCTGGAGGAAACGAGCTCCCATTTGCAAAACATTCAAGTTTACTGCACTCATGAGCCATGAGTCACTCAATTAAGTGGAGAYGCTTGGCAATTTCTGTTTTAGAAAGGGTTCCCTAAAATGTTCTCCGAAGACAAGCCCACCTTAATAAGCTGTTTCCTCCTCACTTTCTAGGTAAGTCTAATAAACTAGAATAAGACTGAAAAACTAGCTTCAGAAACCAAACAAGCYGAGAGAAATTACCAGTTTAGGGAAAGGATTAAGCAAATGCATATAAAAGGGAAAGACACAAATATTTTCTTTTAGTTCTCATGGAACAGCAAATCTAAAATGGTCGATGAAATGAAAGCAGAAGCTTATGCGTTTAAGTCACAGCTCCCAGGTCCAAGATGCATAGCTTCACAACATTTTTCAACTAAAATATTATTTTTGTTTTGATTTGAATACTACTTACGCAGCTAAGAATTATTCTTCATCAGTTATTCCATGCTACAAAGGTTTTGTAAAATCAACATTGGCAGAAATTAGCCAACTGACGCAGGTTCATGACTAATTAATTTATCCAAGTCCACAACTGCAGACCCCTTAAAAGCTACCAGTGTTGTTCAATGTTTATGACCTTACAAAGCCAGGATAATAAGAACACTGCTCTGTTGAATGAATGCTAAGAAAACCACTTCCCCTTTCCCTCTGCTCCAGTCCTCAAGAACAAACAACAACAACAGAAATCAGGAAAAGAGTTGACAGCTGGACTGGAAGATAGTACACCATATGCAYACTCTTTATGAGGAGCAGTAACTTCAACAACCAAGTTCTAGGAAAAGGTCTTCCAAACCATTTAGCACCACTTTTAAATTCCCTGTTGGCACAGTATATTCAACACTGGAGAAACCACAACATGATTGACATTAACATGGTTAATGGTTGGACTTGATGATCTTGAAGGTCTTTTCCAACCTTAATGATTCTATGAGCAGCAGGGCACACTGTCCATACTGCCATACAGAACAGCACAAGGGAATTAGGCCTGATCCAAAAAATTCTGCTTATTAAAACAAGGCTGGAATGGAATTGTCTCCACAGGAATTTAAAAGAACAAAACAAAACAAGACAATCCAGAAAAACAAGAAAAAAAGGAAAAAAGAGAAAACAAAATCCCTAACATTAAAACCTCAAATTCCGTCATCAGAATATACACACTTCAAAACAATCCCAGCTGGCCAGTGAGTTTGGGGCCCTCATTCCCTGACTACTCTAAAGGACCCAAATTCCTTCTCTAAAGGATCTCTACAGAATCATGACTTCTCCAGATGCCAGATCCCCTCCCAAAGCTTGRAGGTGTCTGGACCAGTCAGCTGCATCTGGTCAAAAACAGACTGATCAAGACTCAGTATTTATCATCTTCCCAAAGACACCAAAGAAGACTTTTCCAAACATTTATGAAGGTGACAGTGGTTTGGAAATAAGTAATCTATGGTTTAAAAAAAAGCCAAAAAACAACAAAAAAAAGCAACAAAAAAGTTTTAAGTCTTGTAAGTCAAAGCACTGTCTGCCTCTACATTGTTGCAGACTATTTTTCTAGTGGTCTTGTGTTCTGATGCTGCCTCATGGCAAAATGATGTATGGCTACCCCTAGTGCTCTAAGCAGCATTAGTGGTGAGGCATGCTTTTCTTTTTTCTTTCTTTTTTTTTTTTTTTTTTTTCCCAATAAATAAAATCTGCATAAGCCTTACAGTTCTGCAGCAAGACAGACTTTAGCTCTATTTTCTCTTAATTTTGTTTCATACAGCTACATGTAATGCTTAGGACATTGGCAGACTCTTTGAAATGCCTGTGTCCTTAACGTGCACAGATCCCAAGCATGGGCATGTGACAACAGACTTCCCTCCCACTCCCATATCCCTTGGAGTAGTAACTCTGACCTTACTACTTCAAGGTATATGGGTAAATTATCTTTAGATTTAAAAAAAAAAACAAAACATGGTCCACAAAGATAAAATGCAACCCTTCTTCTGGAAAAAGCAAGGTCTATGGAGAAATGCATAGTTAAATGTAATAAAACTTGACAGAGAAGAAAGTGTTCAGATTCYCCATCCTTCTTTCTCCAAAAACTTTACAGCATAGCCAAATGACTCCTCCCCTGGAGGCCACCTAAGCTCTTCCTTGTGGTTAGCTAGAAAAAAAGTCAAGAATCCACATGAAAGCAATGTGCTTATTTCTTAAGGACAGAGCATATTGCTTCTACAGCATTCCCAATTCCTGCTGTGGCAGACTAAAGAACTGAACTTAGAACCTAAACATTACACCTGGAAACACTCCTTACTAGTAGGGACAAACTTAGAGGTACACACACATAAACTTTAGAACTGTTCTGGACACAAAACTTTTCATCAGCCAAATAAAAACCAACCAACCAAAATAACCCCAACCAACTAAAAAAAAACAAACACAAAAAACCCAAAACCATGACTAAGTTATTATGCACCTCTAGTACAGCCATGAAACCATTACATTATAGGGTTTACATGAACACATGCCCAGATAAGCAGGTTAGAACAACTATGAAGATACTCCAGGCAAATAATGTGAACCTGTTCTAACTGCCCTGCAGTTTAAACCTTCAAATGCATCTCATTTAGGAACAATGAAATCTGAAAGAAGGTGGAAGGAAACACAATCATTTTTGTTCTGCCTAAGGTAACCTACATTTTTAAAATGTATAGCCATAAGACACCTGGCTCTGAATTTAGTATTCAGAGAGACAAAACAGTTGGAAATATCTGCTTTAGAATTTGACATTTAGCACACTGCAGTTTCAAATAAAGCCTTAAAATTACATTCTTCTGAATACTACTGAAGATACATGCCACCAAGATCCACTGCTATGTTACAGTTATGATTTGATATGAACCATTCTCTTGGGCTGGTACTTTTGCTTCTGTTGTTGTCCTGGGTTTTGGTGGCCATTCTGGATCAACCAGCAGTTCCTGAGCTAGGTGCATATACTTGGCTTTTGGTGTCTTCTCTCTACAACCCAACAGGGAAGAAAGGAAACAGACTCCACAGCGGTCCCCAGCCTCCTGCAGAAGTGAACAGATTTGAAAACTGGATTATCATAAGAAAAAAAAATAATGTAACTAACAATACAGTAAATCACTAGAAAAAAAACTATTATTTTAGTCTTTACTATTTCATTGTCACAATGAACCTGTTGTGGAACAGGAACTCTTCTGTTGTGTCACCTCTTCTACACTATGGTAGCAATGACACTCAAAAAACATTAAGAAAAAGCAAGTATTCTACATTATCATAATATCTAAGACCATCAACGCTTTTTATGCACATTTTATAATCATTTCAATAATCACAGATAGAATAGGCAACATTAAATGATTTTACTACTGGAGAATAGAAACCTGCTCTACAGAAAGCAAATTCCCAAAGCCTCAAAACATTTCTTAAGCCATAAATTGTTAAACTGAAGGCAGGCAGCCAGAGAAAAGTAACAGAATTTAACTTGCTAATACTGTGAAAACTAAATACTGCAGGTATTAATAGCTATTAAGTTTAATAATTTGTGTCTTTTTAAAGTCTTCCTTCCTATGCTTCCTCTCCCAGTCTCATATGTATGCAATTTAATTAGCTGGGGAGGAGAAACACCATTCTTGAGACTGAACCCCTCTCATGTCTCAGAGAGCACCTATACACTGCAGGGCTGACATCTTAATGGTAATATATTCTATGGTTTTCATCAAGCTCTAAATTTCTATCAGTTGGTGAACTGAACCAAATGCAAGCCTCCATTCTTCAGTGAACACAATTTGTTCTACAAATGCCTCAGAAGGACAAGTGTAAATCCAAAATGAGTACATTTAATAAAATTTAGTGCTGAGAAATAAACCATTGTGATTTTAGCAAGCACAAATGCACAATCAGCCAAAAGTAATAAGCCAACAGGCTTAATAAAGATAGTTTTTATGGAATTCACATGGATTTCCTTCATGCATTGATTGCAGAGGGGCAGAATAGACCAAAACTCATGGTCACCTGAAAAATCTTTCAGTGTCCTAAATCATGTGAAATAGTAATAGTGTAGTTTCATTTGGCATCTTACTTTGTTTCATTTGTACATACTAAAATTACTGCTGTCAGACAATGATCTAAAACTCCAAACCAAATTAATTTAATTTAATTGCTTCTGAGCAAATCAAGATGTTCCCAGTCCTAGCATGCTAACTTGTGACACCACAAATAAAATTTGCTAATGCTCAAACTTTAGTTAAAGTGAGGAAAGTCTCAAAGCAATCCACTAGGTTTGTTTCACAGTTCTTGCACGCACTCTAAACCCTTTAAGTGTCAATACGGAAAAAAATATAAACCCAGAAGTCTTTCCTTTTAATATTCTTCTTACAGAAATCTAATTTAAGCAGACTTAAGCTAAAGATAAAGCAACAGACACTTATAGATAATTAAGAGACAAAACCAAATTAAGCCACATGCACCCAAATGATGAGAGCAAAATACTCGTCTCCAACCTGAGGCGGCTGGGGTATGGTGAGGCGAGATTCTCCTTGTTTGTCTCGATTGAACACAACCTTCCAAAGGATCATATCAAGGAGGACATTCTGTGAGACATTACAGTGAGTGGGAAGAGTTAAAGAAACTAATGATCATTTGTTGTTAGTGTGCACATTACAAATAAAACCTGCAATAGTGCGTTAGGCATACCTACTTCAGAGCAAAATTGAGTTTATGCTACTTGTCGGTACTTTTGTGATAAATATCTTCGTTCCTAAAGTGCTCACATGCCATTTAAGAATATGAACATGCACTTTAAATCAACAGCAACAATGACCAAAACTGCATCTACCGATACGGGTAAAAATCATAAATATACCTTCTTAATGTGTTTCAATACTCTAAAAATCTGTGAAGCACCACATGAAGACATGAGTGCTTAGAGCAGTTTCCCCATAAACCATCTTTAACATTACGGTGTGTTTCGATTTGGAGCTGTGCTTTGTTCATAGTCTGGTTTTAAACCAGTGACATTCCAGGTAAGTGGCAGTAGGGTGACAAAGCTGAGCCACCAGCAGGAATGAAGCAATTTGGTAGGCATCATTCCAGGTTTTAAAACAGGGCAGAAGTTTACTATGTTAAGTACATCTGGTTATCCTCATACAGCTGCATGAGTGGACTCAAGAGATTTGAGCAAACCTGACAACCAAGGTGTGAAACTGTACCTTTCATGGCCTTGAGCCTACAACTCTGATCCTTGGATAGATTCCATTCCTAACCTCTGCCATTGAAAATGGGGAGCTGATTAGCCAGACTTTTATAATAGATTTTTATAATGCTTATGGTTTTATAATATACCAGAATTTGATAATGCTTTTATAAAGCAACTGCCAACAAATCTTCAGCCTGTTAGATGTTCATTTTTGAAGCCAGTCTGGTTTAAGCATGTCTATACCAGGTATCAGGGGTGAGGAGGAACAGCTGGTAGGATGTGCCTTTGTTGTGCAATATTTTCTATTGTCTGGTGGAAAGAATCTGCATGCTTTGTGAACCTAGTCTGGCACCCACATGGAAGGAGGAAAAGCTTTTCAAGGCATTTCAGAAAGCATGTTTGGGACAACCACGGTCAAAAACTATTCCTATTGTAGAAAAAATGACAAGCTATGTATGATCACAGTGTGACCAAAACAGATCCAATCTCTCATGTATCTCACAATTATGAGACCCTAAAAGAGGCAATTACTGAGGGATAGCTCTCAGCAGAACAAACTCCAGGTGATACACAGAGTTAAAAGTGGCCTGTGGCCTCTCCCAGATAATCAGAATGTCACCTAGTAAGTCTGTAGTGAAAAGTATAGGGGGCAGAAAATCCAGCCACGAGGAGAGAAAGACAATGAGCTATACTGAAGTGCAGGAATGAAATAGCCTGGGATTTCTATGCAACACTCTGGACCCAAGGAGCTGGCACTGCATGACAAAGCTTTAGGGAGTGGAGGGTAACACTGGTGGAATTGGGAAATGCAGTTGAAGAGGTGGGCAGAAGTTATGGGAGGTGAAGTGTGAATTGTAAAACAAGGCTTGGGATTTGAGGATTGTGAGACAACAGTTTTGTTGGACACCTGATGTACGGTAAAACAACTCATCTGCCTAAACAAAGCATTCAGCCTACACTGAAAGTGGAAGAAACTAAGAAACTTTGTCTTTAGTTTAAGACAAAGCATAACAGCCCAAAAAACTTGTGCCAGGAAAACTCTAGGTAGGAACTTTTATTTTATTAAAAAAGTACAGGCAACAAGATAAATAGGTAAGTCTGTTCAAAAGAAATGTGCCAAATCACCCCTCCAATTTTGGTAATGACAGTTAAGTGACTGAAGTGTAGAAAGATGCTAATTAAAACCTGCACAGGATAAAGAGTGGGGTGATGTTTGGAATACCCGGTGAAAGCAAACACTTTTACCCAGGTAATTATATTGCTTAGGTGATGCTTAGTAGAAATGCATAAGTTTTCAGACTGATCTGACAACCAACAAGGCCCAGAAACTGAACCTTACGAACATGTATCTAAACCAGAGGAAAACCATTTGTCCTCAAGAATTGCATGCTGATACATGGATTGGCATACTGCTCAGACTTTCTACTGGAGTCCTTACAAGTCCAGAGCAGAAACACCACCAGATTCCAGAAAAGTTAGAAAGGGCATCAGCAGAACACAGGAATTTTTCAGTACAAGGTGAGCTTGTTTCTCTCAGTAATGTTTATCACTGCACTGAAAATCAAATAGGAAAAAAAATWTCTATCTAGAAGGTTTGTTCTAAGTTTGTCAGAAGACAAAGAAAGCCATGATTCTGAAGCTTCAGAATAACTATTTTGTTTCAGTGGTAAAGACAGCAATRTACAAATAAAAAGAAGCCAAAAAAACCTATTAAGCATTTACTAATGCAAAAAAATGAAAGAATTCAAGGGCATAAAGGAAAAACATCACAAGAAGGATTACAGTGGATACAGGACAGTGTAAGAAAAGCACAGGAGCTTTAAGTGGATAAACTAGACAGAGGCCAAGAAAATWAGTATCTACTGCCATGTTTTGGAAGACAAATTGTCACCTGCCGCGTGAAAAACATGTTCCAATAGGCAGCAAAGTAAGAGTATATTTTGCAAATTCTATTTGGAACAACATTTTAAACAGAAAGCCTTGATAACTTTGATTCAAGTGTCTGAAAAAAACCCTTTGTTTGAGTTAATTTTTACTAGGTCATAAATAAAAGGGAAAAAACACGTCAATTGCACAGAAATTAATGCTGTAGTACTCTTTGAAGACCAAAATTATATGATCCAAGCAAACATTATGCTGGTTACATTGACAGCAATCCCTCCCATTGTAATGGAAATACTGATTAGAAGCTGTAGAAAATGTTACACAGTAAAAACAGATAATTGCAGTGTGCAAGCGCTAGATAATGTTGGAAGGTTTTTTCATCTTGCAGGAAAAAAGGTGACTCATGACTGCAACCAAAACCCAAACATATTCAGGTTGGAAATGACACTGAGTTTAACAGGGAGAAGAACTAACCACAGGAATAAATAACTGACTGTGAATCCAGACTTCTTCTGGGAGATCTATCTGTCAAACTTTATTCTTGGAAACAACAACAAGGCACCTGGATGAAAGGTAGGGCACGTTTCTGCACACATTAACYCTGGAATTACAGCAGAAGAGGTCAACATGCAGAGTGACTGACTTCAGACAAGCTCAGGGATGGAAAAAGCAGATTTGCATGAACATCTCTACTTCTGGCCTTTGATCATATCCCAMAATCAAGTTACACAGGCCTGCATTATTCTGAACAATAAGCTATGTGTTATGACCCAAATGAAWGAGGGTGGGCTCCCCCAAGGATTTTACATAGTTCTCTAGTATGTTGTTATTCTGAAGTAACACACAGTATTTTAACATATGAAATATTAATATRAAATCATTGAATTATTTAGTCTTTCAACTTCCCCCTCCCCATTTTTTAATAAAAAAGGTTTTAAAATTACACTTTTAACACAGAAAATCTTGACACCTTAAATCTAGCCTACTCGGACATTTATAGAAAGACTCCTAACAAGAAAACAGCAGCCACTCATACTGGCATATTGTGAGGAGAGGACTTCTAACTAAAAGACAAACATGCTACCTGAAAAATGAACCACTTAAAAGAGAGGCATTTTTTCCACTAGGATTTCTTACCTCTGTCAGCACGGATACAACTGCATTTAGAATAACGATGATGACAATTCTTAGGCGCCACTCAGGTGGCACACACACAAGCTGTGGAAACAAGTTGCCAGAGGTTAGAAACACACTTATGAAGTAAACATGCATTCAAAACAAGCTCAGCATTATAAATTCTCCCTTCCCCACCCAGTGATGTAAAGCTAAAGCTCTGCAGGGGTCACGCTTGCCCCAAATGCAGCCCATCAGTTCCCCAGGAAGTTGACACACCCACAGATCTGCTGACTCTCACCTCAAGAAATTCATCAATAGGTTCAACAGGATGCAACATGATGAAAAATATGAAGACATAAAGAACTATAACTGATAGAACAAACAGAACTGTAAAAGAAGAAAAAAACATCAGTTTTAGACAGTTTTTCCGTGTATCATGGGTTCATTTTTTYCTGGAAACAACCTCTCTTCTCCCTCTAAACCCCTTCCAGGCAAATTCTGGCAATACTAGTTGTTCTGATAGCCATAAAGAGCCAGAAGACCTTTTTCTCACTGGCTCAATTGTGGAGTTGAAATGTATACACACATATACCTCTACAAACGAAAAGCAATATTAACATAAATTCCTCCATACAGTTTAATATTTCCTTATTTCTAGCTGTGATTATCAGAGGATAATTACACTATGTTCTAGCAACACTACTGCTGCTGAAGTGGCACAACACAAGTCCACAGCCACTTGGGAGTTTTATTTGGAAATGTATACACTAAGAAAGTACTTACAATTTTTGTAGCATGGTTGTCTAAAGGGCTTTCCTTTAGAAAAGACAATTGCCACTATGAGGTACTGAAAGCTGGATATAAAAAACAAAGTTGTGTTTTCATAATTTTTAATGTAATGTTCATCATGAATAGTCTCATTCCCATGATGTGCAGAGCTGGTGTTCTTGGTGTCCAACGCATTACATGCACTACAACACAGAAAGCATTGAATTCTGAGTTATGGAGAAGAGGCAAATTAAATCCACTTATTTACAAAWGTAGTGACAGAATAAATCGCTACAGTAGTAAAAGAGTTTAAACTTGAGAACATATTACACGTAGTAATAAATAACTCAAAACTGTGGCAGGGAGGTAGCAAATTTTGGGAATTCAGAGCTTTGAGTTCTTTTWTGCTGCCAGTTAGTAAATCTTCTACATGAATTATTTTAAAACTATCACTATAGATAAGACTTTAAAGACAGGTAAGAAAATACTGTAATCTTAAAAAACTCCAACATTCAAATGCTTCTTCATTTGCAAATTGTTTTACTTTAACAGGAAAACAAAGTCTTATAATATGAAAGAGATAAAATAGATCTGAACCATTGATTTCAAATTTCTACCTCAACTTCCCAAAGTTGAAGAGCCTTTAGACCAAGCCATCTGACTCTGACCCAATTTTGCTTTTCAGTCACTGGGTAGCTTCCATATATTAGCATTCTTTTCACAAAATATCAGCAGACCAACAAGCTGCCATACAGAAGCTTTGAAATTAGTCCCCAAAGTGGGTCAAGAAAGAAGAAAGAAGTTATTGCCTATGGCTTTCCAATCACTACTGTGTCCTGCACAGAGCCACTGGAACACTTACTCAGAGTCTGGTGTCCAAGGCTCATACCAGGACTGCTGTTTGACCCAAAAGAACCCCAAGGTTTGGAAAGCAAGGCAGATGATGATCTGAGACAACACGGAGCACAGAAGTGGACCTGAGATAAGACCTGAKGGAGGCCTTCGTGCAACCAGCTCTGTCCAAGCAGGGTTCAGACTCACTGCAAGGAGAACAAAAAACAAATGACACATCATTATGGTTTTCAAGAGCTATCCTGTTCACATTCTGTGGAATTAGAATGGCTTGCTCATGACATCACTTTAAAATTTAGTCCAGAACTGCAAATGTGAAACCACCTTGCAGCCCTAGAACAATGCCACAGTGCCTTCTACAGGCTGGGTCCCCAGCAGCACCGCAAACAGCAGGGGACAGTAGCAGCCATGAGACTTCAGGAATTAGCAGTGTCTGGCCAAATTCTCTTTGTCTGGCACAAGGACTTGCAGCTTGCCTCCTCACTTTTGGACTACCATTGCTTCAACAAGGAGGTTTTTATTAACTTTAAAAATGGAATTCTACTGTTAGCCAGTGAATTGAGTGCTAGGCTTGTATGTGGAATCGAATGTTCCACTATGCAGTACTTTGAGTGTAACATTTTGTGGACAGAAATTCAAAGCAAGAATGCAAGGAATCAAAACATTTGAGCAAAAAGATATTGCCTTAATGCCTGTTTTGATTCCAAACCCAGCTTCCTGTACTGTGAAAACATAATTCCCCAAGCTTGTGCCCACAGCCTGCTTCTTGTATGAGGACATTTCACAAATTTCAGATGAATGTCCTTCAGTACACAGTGGTGGTTTGGGTTTCTTAATGCATAGATGTAGTAGTCATAACATGTTCACTGTAYGTCACAGCATCTTCTCAAAACCACATGTAATTAGAAAATCTGACCAAGCAAAAACTGGTTCAGAGAAGCCAGCAATGSTAATTCAGTACAATACTTACTAGTGAAGACAACCACCAAAATGATTGCCAAATCAATGAAGAGAAACTGGAAATCTCCCAAATTGCTCAGGATCTAGAGAGAAATCACAACTGAAACATTGGTAATTCCTTCACACCACAAAAGATTTAAAATGATATTCTTATGGCATTAATTCTTTAAATTTCACTCGAAAAAAAACAGAGTCCTTGTCGAACTGGCTTCCTTTACCTGCAGGAGTCCTGAATACTTTACAACTCACAGAAAAATTGCTAAAATACCACAGTACAAACCAATTTGCTTTTCAAGATAGATAAGCTATTTGTAATCAAAATTTGTTTGTAATCAAATTTATAATATTGAATATTACATACCAATGCATTAGCAGCTTAGAGCCCCAGTTCTTTAAACACCATAGCCTTACTATGCACTCACACAGCTGTCAAAATTTCCACCTCAGAGGTCCTTTAATACCCTGCACCTTTAACTWACTCAGAATACAAATTTAAATACAGGATTTCTACCACATGCTGTATTGTGAATCCAAACATATTAACAGGAAATACCCCACTTTGCACCCTCAATCAAAATCAGTACTTCCAAGTTCTTTCAATTCTAACCTAAAAGGAAAGTATTGCCCTTTAAAAAAAAAGTTAGGCTATTTCAAAATGCTGAAAGTTTTTTAATAATTGAGTCTGTATTTTTGTTTAACTTATCTGYTTATTTGGACTTCCCACTGTAGAGACTTTCTTTTCACAGCCAAGAGGTATTGCCTTTTCCGAATAGATACTACCATGTATTTTCTACAGTTAATATTAATAAACCCCCCAAAATACTAACAATACTTTTAGTCTAAATATATTTTTGAATGCATGTGTTGTACTCAAAGGGACTTGCAACAATTTGTATTAAATATCTATCAGCTTCCAAATTTCTGCTGACACAGCAAAAGTATTTAGAGAATACTTACAGAATACAGCAAAGTAACACTGATGTACTGGATGATGCTGTATAATGCCATGAATTTAAACACACAGAAGGAAGTTATTAAAGCAGCACGGCCTTCCCTGTCAAAACAGATGCAGTCATGTAACTACAAAGCCTTCTGTGCAAAGTTCTGCCTAATGAAATGTTAGCTGCAATCAAACACACTAAACCCTTTGAGGGACATTAGGCTGCAGACAGAAACGAGTCAGAATGGTACACTTCCCTCAACATCAAAGTTGTGGGCATGTCTTCTGAAYCCAGCCACCACCTTAATTCAGTCCACTTTGAATTTCATCTGATTTTTCCACAGATATTTTAAAATTAAGGTCTGTTTACAAAAGCATCTATGAAGCATTACTTTACTGCATGGATTGAATGAACACACAGTCAGCCACAGAGCTGCTGACTTCAGGAATGTTTCTAATAATGCATTACTTCATTCGTTCCACACAGACTTTCTGATTATTCTTTGGCTGACCTCTATCCAAAATCATTAGCTAACTTCCAATTCAAAAATTGTTCAAGTCCTATTTAGAAAATTTGTCTTCTACTTTGTAGGGTGCTGAGCAATTATCTGAAGATTTTTACTGCTTTCAGTTACAGACAGCCTTTATGGAAACCAGCAAAGTCACTAAGAAAATATTAAAGACTAATGTTAGGAGCTCAGACATGCTTTGAAAAATTAACTTTACATGGACAAAGGATTTTATAACAGAATAGTAAATCATGCTATAGCAGGGCTTTGTCAGACTACCTTCAGTAAAGAAACAGAACCCCTAAAATGTGTGGATATCTCTGTAATTCATACTTGTTTCCCACACCATCAAATAAATACTAAAATCAAGCATGCAAAATGAGTTACACAGACAAATTTCAAATTTAAGCTCTCAGTCAGTGCCATTACCTGATCAGCTTTGGCACACAGGAAATACTGGGTGTCCTGGAAGTGAATGGTGATGCCACAGAAGCCTCAAGCTCAGACAGAGATATACCACCATGTGCCCTCTTTAGTGCCTGCCAGTTAACAATGAAATAGAGACCATTTTAGAATTTGYTTTCAGTTGCACAATTTAACTGAACTGTACGGAAAATAAAATGGGGATCTGTGTGGAAAATAAAAATACACTTACCCCACAGTCATTTGCTCCATCTCCACACATTCCCACATAGTAACTATAAAAACCAAACAGACATGAGCATTCTGGACCATTCTCCAAACATGCTCCATTTAGCTTATTTCATTAATTACTTCTATATTATTATTTGAGTTATTCAGGTTTGTGTAACAATGGCTGATCATTAATGCTGAAATCAATTACTGTTGTTATCATACATATAAGGAAGTAGACAGAAAAGTAATATGACTATGACAGGCCAATTAAAGCAATTATGGTWAATTAGCTCTCTATCATCCCAAGGTGATCTAAAGAATCTTTGCCCTAGGCAATGACACTTCTGTGGAGCTGCAAGGCTTAACACCACAGTCACATATTGACCAATGTGAACAGAAGTCATCCTGATATTACTGTAATACTCAGAAGACATTTGATGAGTTTGTTTATTAAACAAAACAACTGCTTTAAAAAAATGTCAGTCAGTTTATGCACATAATCCTCATTTAAAACTTCATGAAGAGTCTGAAACTTTCCCAACCAGCCAGCAGATGGTACTACTCTCATTCTGTGAGATCAGCCAATAGGCTGATTTTCCAACACAAGGAAGTTCTATCAGCCCAGCCTTTCTGTTTAGGCAAAACACCTAACAGCATGCATTATTTTCATCTCCTATCACACCAAATACTGTCAACCCTCTCACTTTCTATGCTTGAGCAAATACTTACTCTACATTTTGTAAAGCTTCCACCAGCTGAGTTTTCTGATCAGGTGCCATGCGAGCAAACACAGTGCCGTGTAGCACGAGCTGCAAGACAGAAGAGTTCTTAATSCTCACAGGACAAAGTCTGTTCACCATTGAAAGTGTCCATACTCAAGTAAAATGCTCACCTTGGGTACCAGGTCCTGAAAATGCTCCAAAATCACTGCAAATGACTTCCCATTCATTGCAAAATGGTATTTTGTCATCTGTAGATCYTCAAGGCTTTCATGGACCAATTTAACTGGAATATCCTATCAAAAGYAATTTAATGCTCTAGCTGTAATGCATTTACACAGATACCTTACCATTTCAAGTTACTACTCAGAGGTATATTCCTCAAGATCCTACRAAGGCTAGGTTTATAAGAATGTCACTTGGAAAAAAAAACCCAATACAATGAAAATGCTTATTTATTACTAAGAAAACGTGGATTAATATTTCAACTGCAAGCAGCTAGAGAAGCCTTAACAGAATGAAATGTTAGGAAAAAACCCTGTCTCCTGCACAAGTGAAATGTCACATGTTATATCACATTTGAAAAACTACCTCCCTCAGCTGCTTTGCTAGTCTTTGGTACCTTAAGATCTTRAGATGAAAGATGAAAGTTACCTAATACATCAATTCTGAGTTGACACTTAACAGCAGATTTACTATTTAATGGAATAACAAAAAGAACAGAAATCTAACAGCTTACACCCTCAGGGCACAATACAATCATATTACCTCTGAGTTTATGGCTGGTGATGAACTAGTGCATTTTGCAAGGGTATCTGCATAATGCCAGTTGATCCTGGCAGCCTGCCCATCCTTTGGAGGTAGTGCTTCAGCAATTATGACCTTATCCTGAGGTAGAATCATTCCACAGTCTCTGGCCACAGAGATAGCAGTTAACATGTTATCCCCTGTTAAATAATTGCATTTAAAAGGGTTTCATTAGAAAACAATCAAGATCATACACTGATATTTCCTGTAAGAGAAAAGGTAACAAAGCCAGTTTAGAACTAGGAGGACTGCCCCACAYACCAGTGACAACCTCAGAGCAAACCAAGCCTACAGACAGCATTCAAAGCCAACCAGGTAAAACTCCTCCCCTGTAAACTTTGTGTGCTGCATGGAGCCGTAAGGATCTCCTACTGACCAAATCTTGCTGTATGTGGAAAATCATGCAGGAAACATGCAGCCATTAAAATACTGATTTTCAAAAACAGTCACAGAACATGSAAACACAGAGCTGTACTGCTAGCCTAGCAAAACATTCCAAAATTGCAACACCTGTGATTTTAAAAGCAAACAYATATTGCATGGAAAACACTGAGCACAGACACCTAGAACATTTACAATGACCTAAGTCACTCCCCTCAAAAAAAAAACAATACAAAGTGACTTTTTACACCATAAATCAMAATGATAGGGACCCTCAGGACACCCAGTCCAACCTCCTRCTCAAAGCAAGGTCAGTCATAAAATTAGACCAGGACCTTTATTTAGCCTGATCTGGAAGACTTCTAAGGATTTAGATCCCCAAATTCAGTATCAGTAGCTTGTACATGGAGCCAGGGAGAAGAAACTGCAAAGAAGAATTAAAGCCTCTTCTGGTTTCTCTGACTACCAAAGCAACTTGCACCCAGAAAGAAACAAAGTGGTGTCTRAATATTTTCACAAGTTTCTAAACTTCCCTGTTCCTATAAACACAGTGTAAGCCCAGCCTACCAACACTAAAATTTGACTTCATACACTATAATTAGAACAAGAACAAAAAGAGATGGATTTTTGAGTATGAATGTTTACATGCTAACCTGTAACCATGACAGTGCGAATGTTGGCTTTATGCAAATCTTCAAGTACAGCAGGGGTTTCTTGCTTTAACTTGTTTTGCATTATAATTAACCCCATAAAATCCATGTTGCTTTCAATAGCATCTCTGAAGAAAAAGAGAAGAGGAAGAGAAGACAAGATTTACAATTAGTAGATGTAGCTGTAAAAGCCTGATTTTCTGCTTATCGAACTAAAGAGGAATGTGTATTTTTAACCATGAAGTAATTTGCTTTATAAAAAGTGATATGAGAGATATCATCACAATAATTTATACTTATTTCCCTCAACTGAAAACCAGTATGAGAAAATGTTATTTCCTCTCAAGCACGAGTTTTAGTATCTTCCACGAGAATGCTTTCTAAAAGAAATTACATTCTCAAAAAGGTTATAGCTAGAAAACACACTCTGAAACTAACTGCATTCATAGGCCAAATATCAAGATATGTTTAGAGTGCATACCTATTTTCCAGATTAGCTGAACCTTAACATAAAAGCTACCACATCATGTTACAAAGGCATGTAAAATTAACAGGTACTAGTTAATCAAGAAAAGAAACTAATCAGCTTTGGTTTACATAAAAAAAAAGTCAGTGAATTTACAGGTCGAGGGTATTCTACTGGTACTGTAGATTTTCACACCTGAAACTGGAAAACTCACTTCTCTGCTTTGCCAAATGTTCACCTTATACAGAGCTGACACAAAAGAACATTGTCAAAGCTGGCATTTTCATATCTATGCTACATATTCAAGCACTGTGGGAAAGATAATATTATCCACAAAACTAGACTCAGCTGAAAAATAATTAACAGGCGGTACTACTCTCTGAAGGAAGAAACCTTTCTATGTTCCAAGCCTTTCTGGCAAGCTCTGCAGTGAGAAAATGGGCATGCTGCCTTTAGGAGACAAAGAAAAGGCATCATACATGCACAGGAAGATTTCTACTACTTGCCATTATCMTTAATAAACACAGATGATACAAGTAAAGAAATCAGATGAGGTTTTCTGCYATAATAGAGTATATTAGACACTATGAAAATAATATTCCAGTTCATTTCCAGCTTAAAGCTCATCCTCTGAATTCAGTTAACTGCAGAAAAAAACTTGCTTATCTTAAATGCCTAGGGCACAATTAACAGATGCACTAGAACTCTGTCTGTCAAGACAGAAGAAAGCTAAAAAGAATAATCATTGATTTAAACAAAAATACACATTACATATTAATTCAAAGCATGCAACTTATTAAAAAAGTGAAGTCACTCTTACCTGCTAATAGTCTGGACTTTGTGCCACGTAAGCTTGGACTCCAGTTTTCTGTGAGCAAGAGCAATAACTCGGAAGCCCTGCTTAGTGTATTCCTCCAGGACACGCTCAAAGTCAACAGGAACTTTAAAAAGGTCAAGTTTAGAGTTATTAAAATATTCATATTTCAGCTGAGCTACAGAAGAAATATAACTAGTTTGCTGCTTTACCTGTTTCCTGCTTACACAAGCTGGCAATCACTTCTGGGGCACCTTTCATGTAAGCATCCATTCTCTTCTCCCCTAGAACCCTGGCTATTACACACATGCGCTGCAACACTGAGGAAAATGGAAACTGGCGCACGATTCCAATTTCATACCCAGTCTGTATCAGRCAGGAAGGAAGGAAAAAAAGGGTTACATCCACATGCATTTTAAGAAAAACAGGTATGTGTGTAATGAAAAAGTGTACTTACCGACAGCTCAAAGAGCTCCTGAAAAAAARRAAAAAAAAATACAATCACTCTAAATAGTAATTTCTAAGTATTTTTAAATATTTTTTCAGCTACAGAYTATTTCAACATAATCAGTAAATGAATCTGCACAGCATTCTTGTTATCAAGTCATAGTGGTTTTTAAATGGATTTCATAATGGCTGAGTATCAATATACTGGAAGTGTTTAAAGTATCCTTCACTCTAATTGAGACACAGTAGAGCTTGACTACTTGATTAGAATTTGCAAGACCTTTCACAGTCCAAACTCTCTGTTTAGCCTTTGTAAACAACTGAAGTATGGTGTTTCAGAATGTGGCCACAATTATTACGTACATCCCCAAAATACCATGCAGCAAGTTTCAAGAACATTCAGATATCAACTACTGCACAGTAATTACTGCTGTGCACATACACTGAGCTCTGAACAMAAAGACATTTTTATGTGCTACAATGCGCGACTCATACAGATGAACTGACTTGTTATAATCTCCCACTACTCTGCTCTGTGATAATCTGAATATATATTCACATGCTTAAAATTTCCTTCATTAATTACTAAAAAATAAAAAAAAATACAGCTAGAAGAAACCTTAAAATCTGCTAAGTACATTATGTTTTTTACTCAGCACTTAATATATCTCTAARGTACAACAGTGGCAAGAATTTCATGCCACACAGTGACATTAACAAATTATTTTAACTAAAACTGCAAGGTGAGCACACCTAAGCACTTCATTAACACAGTAAGAATTTGGTAACAATACCAATATTAAAAAATGCTCAAAAAGTGACACTGTACTTTATAACCAGTCTGTAAAAGTAATAATGCTGACACTCAGTTTGCTCACCACCTTGGAAGTGGTATATACTGAACCACTACCTTCAACAATGGTTTAAATAGGTTTGTTGTGTTTGCCATCAAAACCCTCACAGTACTGATCCCATTTCAATTTTATAAGCCAGAACCACAGCATACAGCAAAATGTGTTTCCCTAACTTTAATTCAAACCAATTGTTTTGAGTTYTTATACCATTTCTTGATCTGTTGCTTGCTTAGATTCTGGGGAAAGTTGYTTTGAAGGTCGAACCACTGTTGGCATGATTCGATTATGAAGGGCTGTCTCCTCTTCAGTTGCTTCTTCTAAAATCTGTAGGAAAAAATGGATTTATTTATACATTCATTAACTTTTTCTTGTTCATAATGCAATTTTCAGGGAAAAACTGGCACTTACCCATCCTATTGCTTCAAACATCTTCAAATCAAGAGGATCTCCAGAAAGCACCCCTTCAATTTTTGTAAGGGAATGACAAGTTGCCATGCAAGCAACAAACTCGGACTTCAGCAAGCTCTCACTGCAAGCCTTCTCTTCCGGCAAAAGGAAACTGAAACAATGAAGTAATAATATACTTAGCACTGTAATTATTTATTATGAGCCACTTCAAAAGGTTTGTTTAGATTAACAGAAGAAAATTGACTGCACAAGTCCCTTCACTTGTATTTTCACACATCACAAAAAACAAATTAAGAGTCTGGGCTGGAATCTTCAGAAACCATCACAACTTCTTCCTCTTTCAAATACTGTGTTCATTCCCCGTCTAGTGTGGTATCTCATACAAGCCCTCTTATCACTTTGTACTTGAATCAATTAGCCAAGCTAATTCATTTTAGCAGCCTGGAAAGCCATCACTTTAGAGGATGGGATTAAAGAAACATGCAACAGTAACTGCAACAGTTTTCCAATAGGATCCTAATGAGGTCTCAGAGTAATAAATAAAATTCTATCTCAGCTTTGCAGGGAAGTTGCGACTTGCACTGAACCTAAACCATAGTTTAAGTGGCATTCCTACAGCTCATTACAGAAATGTAAACATATGAGCTCACAGTGAATTTTCAATTCTATTGTGCTGCAGCTGTTACAGTACAACTGTGTATCACAATTGCTATCAGCTCTGAGCTCATCCTTACCGAGCATTTTCCACCCGCTGAATGCCCCAAAGATCCAAGCCATCCTCAGTAAGTGTGCCAGTCTGCAAAAGAGACCAAGGGTTATAGCATAAAGAAAAAGCCTTCAGAAACAAATTATCTTGAAGCAAAGCAAAAACTAGCAGCTATTTAAATAAATTACACTTGAACAATATATTTTCTTTTGTTTTCACTTACAAATCATGACTTCGGGACAGGAAATACAGTATCTCCCCTTGCTTTTTGCTAGTAACTAAGTTCTAAACTTGTTAAATACTTCAAAAAATACTCAAAGCAGTCACACCCCTYGCTGAAGACAGGACAGATAAAACAGACCCTTAAAATCCAAAGATGATAGKGCAACATCTCAATATTCAGGGACAGGCAACAATGGAAAAGAGGTACTAAACCACTGTACTTTCTAACATAGTTAAAACAGTAACTGAAATATATTTACAAGGAAAATAATACATTCAGTGTGGGTCCTTATTATTAGATGTAACATAGAAGAAGGAACATAAATTGCATCTAGGAAATAGGCATCAGAAAATAATTCTGGCTAGCAGCACTATTGTCTTTCAGTCATGTTTTTTTAAGGAATAATAACAAAATACACTCACTCAGCTTTTCATTGAAATGAATGAAAATGAGAAAAAGTCTGATTTCACACTTCACTTTTTCAGAAACCTGTGTGCTAAATAAAGTTTTTAGTAAGCCTCAACTCTGACATTTYTGAGGTGCCAGTAGTAAGTTGGGACTTGGGGGTCTTGAGATAAGAAAGTAGCTGCATTACAACAACTTTTTAGAGAAGAATAAATTAAGAGAGTTAACAGATGGGAAACAGTGAATACCTGGAAGCTAACTGATCACAAATGATCTAACTTACATGAAAAGTAATGAGTTTTCCTTTTCTGTATATACAAACCCCCTTTTCTAAGATAATGCCCCTCCAGGYAGCAAGGTTTCAAAATTTGCCTAACCTTATCAAAACACACAAGATTCAGCTGGCCACAAATATTTATCCTTTGTGGGCTGATGCAGAAGATGCCAATTTTTTTCAACCTTCTTTGTGCATAAACGATGCCAGCAGTCATAGCAGCAGGGAGTGCTGGAGGCACCGTGATAGTGATAATGTCGAGAGACTCAATGATGATGGTACGAGCTGGAACCTGCAACAGAGGTCAGAGTTAMTGAACAAGAACTTACAGATTCACTACCCACTGAAGTGTTACTAAGAGCAAAAGCCACACCTTGTTTCCCCCAGCACATCATGTTCTGGGTTGCCCAGAAATTTAGCATAAACTTCACCCACCATCAGCAACCATGATAATCCAGTCCCAAATTATCCACAAACCGTAACTTCTAATTTTCACTTTTCCCCCTGGAAATACATTACTTTAAAACATTAGCTGAACAATGCAATATCTTTTCAGAGGAAAAAAAAAMCCCAAAARACGTAATGATTATAAGGTTATTTCTGGATAAGGATTTTTTTGCCTTCAGCATGTTTTAAATGTGCAGTATCCTATTTCTTCCAACTGTATTTAAGTCAGATGGTATTCTTACATATAACAAAGATAAAAATCTAGTAATTGKGTCAAGAKAAAYTGAGGTAAACTCAAATTTYTCTGTAAGATATKCAAATTCTGCTTCTGTGCCGAATTTTGTTCTCAGTAACCTTGTCTCATTTAATTGATATAAAACAGACCAAAAAATTTTTCACATAAAATCACATTGAGTCTCATCATCTGAAGTGTGATGAAAGTCATGGTCACCCTTTTCTAAAATAAGGCAGTTCTGGACCAGAAATGAAAACATACCTCATTTAAGATRCTATTGACAATCGTGTAAAGAAAYCCAATGCCTGCCACCACCACCAGGGACAGGAGAAACAAATAGGCATCTCTGTAGAGCTTAAAATCAGTTGGCTTTGGATACAGTATGGAACGAACAAGCTGTCCTTTAGCAGTACTGAAGCCTGGAGAAAAAGAAAGGAGTAAGGTATTAAAAGCATAAACAAAAGCAAAGCTATTCAAATTTATTAAAAACCTCAATAAAACCCTTAAGCTATTAATTTCATTACAACTGTTTCTCAATATCCATAGCAGATGTTTTGCAATACTGTAATTAAGGTGCTTTAAAAATACACGTGCACATCATACTAAGGGCTTCTCTCCTATGGCAAGGACATGCAGCTGATGCAAACAAACCCCTCCTCTGCAGCACCAGCAAATCCTCACATGGTTTGGTCTGGCAGAGTTTGTTGTACTGCATTTTGTCCCTCACAGTGCAGAGYTAGTGATATATTTATTGTCTAATTAAGCCAGTCCTTGCAAAAATAAAATGAAGTTATTCAGAGTCCAACATTACCTACTTAAAGGGCAAGTCTCCATAAGCYCTCTTGACAGGCACAATGAAAGATTCAGAAAAAACTGCAATGCAGAGAATCATCTCTCAGAGAAATCCACCTCCGGATGGCATTTTGACACCTAACCAAGGAGATTACCTTTCCAAAGGTCTKACAGTAGAACAACCAACCGATACCMCGAGGGCCTCCTTGAACCTTTGCCTCGATGTTTGAAGAGGCCAACTGCAGTGCCCAATTTGGTGTGCCCAAATCATTTCCCATCTGCTCAGACTTCGAAGTCTGTTATTACAATCTCAACATCAATGACAGCTCCCTGACAGCTTCTCAGTCTGCAAGCCACCACAGCAAAGGCTGAACCCTCCACCCTGATATTTGGCATACACAGGATTCTACCAGAACAGAGCAGCTATTGCATCAGTCTTGAACTGATGAGATGAGCTCATCTCAAGAGGAAAAGCCATGAAAGCCTCCAGGCTTTGAATCTGCTACTGCAGAATACAAACCATGGGCCTGTTCAGAAGTTCATGTCTGTATGAACTCRAGTATTTAGCAATGAATGCTTTGTAATTCAACATAGTAGCCAACAAAAAATTAGAACTATTTTCAATTTTCTTTTTCATAGTTTTGCAGAAGTTTCTGTAGCTACACAGGACAGAGCACATCAGGATAAAACAATAAATGAACACTTCACAGGGTGTCTTTAGAACATATAGAATATACAGATAACTTCAGTGGACAATTCTGTTCTCTAAAGCAAAAGAACCAGTTTTGAATTCTTTTCAATTACAATAGGAGCCACAATGACATCCATCAACTGAGTTTTAGGAGGAAAGAAATTAATACATTTMGCTCATCAGTATTTTATGTGTATTTCAGCTGTAAAATCAACATGCCATTTTAAAGGCTTAACTTGAAGACTTCTGTGAGAATAGTCCCAGGAGATCAATCTTATATCCTGGTTTATGACAAGATTAGGACTACATGCCTTTGCACATAGAGTTGTATATAGAGTTCTGTTCTCTTAGATCTGTTAACAACTAAATTTTCAAGTACATTCAATTTTGTGGCACTTTCCTCCCTCAGGTAAAGGGATTTTTATTTGTATCTCACTATGTGAGAATTACTTTAGTTTTTACTATCAGACATCTTAGGAGCAAGAAGCTACAATTGCTGGGACATCTAACCAGTTCTGTAGTAGAGGAAATTCCCTACCTGCCTAAAAATTGTTCCTGTAAACCAGACAGGAAAACAGGRGATTTTACATCACTTGGTCCTCTCTCCACACATAGTCACAGCAAGAAAAGCACATTTGTCCACATGTAAAACCTGAACAAAGCTCAGAGATAAATTCATCCTGTTTACAACAGGAGCTAACTTGGACCTGCCATGGGCAAAGAATATTTTACAAACACAATTTCTGATGTCAGAGCAGTAAGACTCAGTGTGTGGGGAGTAATTACAATGCTCCTTGTAAGAGTTACAGACCATGGTATCAGACTTCAAAATAAAAAGAATGATCTTTTCTGCAAAGCAGAGGTAGCATGCMTTCAGCAGCTCATTTCTGTTGCTGTTTGGGCTCACCTTGCTGTACATGCACACCAAGCTGGGCACATGAAATTTATTTAAGAAAGAAAACAAGTTGAGGTGGTTATTATTAAAGGACAGATGTGTTCCAGGGAAGGAAAATATCTCTTTGAAAAAAAGGACTAATAAACCCCTCAAGAAAGAGAATAAAACAAAAAATTAGAACTTTACTGCTAAAGCAGACTAACAGAAGGTGAAGAGAARACATCAGAGTAAGAAGCAGCTAATTAGAATGGAATCATGTGTTGGAAGACTTGCTTTAAGCAGCAGTCTAGTCAATGCAGTCCAATTTCTTCTACCTAATTCTATTTTACCTTGGATTAGAGCTTCCAATCATTTATTTTGTGGYAATTTTCTTAAGGTGACTTTTGTAAAGCAGAATCCCACGACTGTATTAGCAGGTGCAATTGTTTTTTCGTAGACTATCTGTATTATTTAACCCCAAATCTCTAACACATGAATAAACATTTCTGTAGACAGATCCAACTCATTTTTTTAGCAAGTGTTAGTACTTTCACAAAACTGTAAGTAAAGAAAAACATTTGGCATTGTGAATGAGTCTACTAAAATCAGCTGTTCCCTACTACCCACTCAATCTGATGGTATGTCAAACCTTTTCCAAGAGGCATCATACACCACAAAAAAAAAATCTAAAGGACATGAAAATGTATTCAATTTAAGTTTTAAATTGATGCTGAAGACTGATGCACTTTCTTGTTTGCCAACTGTTAATTTTCAGACCAACATCTATTTTATTACTGTTCTAAGACTTTTATCAAGTTTTTTTGGGGTATATTCCTTTTCCCAAGCTCAGCAGGATCAGCCAGCTGACATCTACAAAAGGGAGTAGTACATTAACAAGTGACAAACTTGACAATCAATACCTGTTCTGACTACCAGAGCTTTGACCAACTCCCCAGTGTAGAAGCGGGTYTGAATGACGTTGGTTCCACAGAACAGCGTGTGCCGCTTGTGCACTTCGGGACTGTAGATCTCATCTCCCACTGCTTTTGGATACTCCGAAGGATTTGGCAGATTAATCTTTGTGACAGGAACACTTTCACCTTAAAGGAAAGAAAGCCCCTAAGCAAGATCAAAGAAGAATAGACATTTTTCCCTTCACAGCTACAGGTAGAATAATATAATCTCATTTCACCAGCACAGAGGCAGATTTACAGAAGTAATCTTCCTTCCAGCATGTTGTTACCTAGTCTCTTGCCTATCAGCCTCAGCTCAGCAGATTCCTTACCCAAATGCTATTTAACTCTATTCCTTATTCACCAATACAGCTTTTGTGCCCCTCACTTCAAAGCACATAGGTGTAAAATAAAGTTAAATAAAAAAACTAGGACAAGCRTCCTTCTCTTGCTGAAAAGCATCAGCCCATCTTTACTCAGAAAAACTAGAAGCTGAAGAAAATTATTCTCAGCTCCTTTCGTGATCAAGTGCACTCRAGCTAGAGCTGCAATCAATTTTGATCAGTTGCTAAGCAGAAGCAAGAGGCTCAAGTATATTAAAAAAAATTGAACATGGTAAAACACAATCTCTGAGCTACAATTTTCTAAAGGCTGTCAATTTGGACAGATTATCCCAGGAATAACACAAAGTCCATCCTAGTCAATGAAGCTGTGCTTTAAGTACATCAGGTCCCTGGTTTCAGAGTATGTAGGCACAACCTGAGATAATAATTTGTGGTTTTAAACACAATAGAACATTCTACTCATTGCCTTCGTTTTTGGAAGAAGCAAAAAAGTTTGGGCAACARTTTTCTGAAGAAGCATGCTGCAGAACTCTATCTGCACTGAGAACATGAAGTCAAGAGGCAGGAAGACAAACTATCAAGAAGAAATCTTTTTAACAAGAAACCATCACTCATTTTTTGAGTTCCCAGGCAATATCAGRTAGCTGTTGCAGATAAGCAGGACACAAGTATGTAAGTACCTAAGAACGTGTCAATGTTTAAGTTCTTAAAATTTCAAACAAAATAAACGCATCCACTTCTGCTAAAACATACTGCAAATAAGCATGCACACAGGTATAAACTAATCCATTTRGGCATGCAGCACCATGTATCAAGTTTACCTTACCTGTTAGCATACTTTCATTTACAATGCAAGTGCCACTGAGCAGTACTGCATCACAGGGCATAATTGTCCCATTGGATGGAATCAACATGGTATCTCCAGGCACGAGGTCGGTGGAAAGGATTTCTTCTATTTCTGAATATTAAAACACAAACAAGTTTTAATATTGAAACTTGAAAACAGCCATCATCTACAAAACCTGATAAAGATCCTCACAGCCAAGATCCAGATGGTGACAATTAAGACTCCATTTTATTAATGCAATTAAAGTAATTAATTTTATTAATTACTTTCTAAAGACATTATTTTAAAAATATACAGAAAAAGCCATTGATAAACCCCAATTTCACCGCAGACTGAACTCTAGAGCACATGGRCATAGTTCATCGTGAAAAATTAAAGGAATCATGCTTGTACAAAAGATCTTAACAATTAGCTACAGTGCAACTTCAGTATGAAGACATGAGTCCAACACAAAAGTGTGTCTTAAAAAATAGTATCAGGCACCCCARCCTTTTGGATACCACACCTTTAACTGCTGTGGTATCCAAATGAGCAAAAGTCCAGAACTCATCTTGTAGCCCTTGCTGGGTAATAAATTGAAATGGCAACCTAATGCATGYGCATCTCTAAGCCAAAAAAGAAACTACAATGACATAAGTGGAATGGTAGAGAATGAGAACTAGCAATAGGACAAACACCTATCCTAGAACAAACCTGATACTCACTGAAAATACCATCTGGAAGGCTAACCCTAAACAGATAACACTATCGAAATTCCACTTTGCAACTTCTTTTCCCCTGAAATTTGGTAAGGAATGCAAGCATTTCAAGCTGATCAAAGAAAGAACAGATGCAGACCCAGTTTACACCCACGCTTCATGAACAATTTAAACTCAACCTTCCGGGCCACCTGTGACATTTACCTTGGTTTCCTCTGCAGACAGAAACCCTTACAATGCTGTGAGCTGCTACCATGTCATGTAACATAACATATTGCTGTAAAGAGGAGAAAAGTCCATTATTAAAAGCACAGTTTSCCTTCTTCGAAATGCACATTCTAACTCTACAATTAAAAGTGATGAGATTCTTCTCTAATAACATTCTTTAACAACAAAACACTAATTAAAAAAATGACATTTTCTTGAACATAGTTTAGAAAACATGAATTAAAATAAGAGAGCCTTTTTTTGTCTCTGGTCTGAATTCGGAGACTGCAATTTAAGGATAATTACTACTTTGTTTTCCATCAGTTAAGTCCACAGAGAAAATTGAATCACCAATTTAACAATAGACAGGTTTTTGCTGGTGCTCAATTCTGTAGGGCTTTTTCAAACAATGAAACAATGCAAGATGGAATCACCAYTGTCACTAAAACTCAGTACATAAACCTATTGATTCATCAGCATGGAAAGTCTGCAAAGGTCTCAAAGAAAACTGTAAATCCAAGTTCTTTCAGCTCAAAGACGAAAATTACATAACAATGTTCTACCTGTATAACTCTGCGAAAATTCTTAAATATTCATAGGCAATTTCACAACAAAGTAAAGCAACCAGTAAGAAGCCAAAAATATGCATCTGTTTTCTTTGAACTTACCTTTCTAATGGTGTAGAGTGAGCTAACAATGGATATTACAGACATAATCACAATTGCTAATGCATAGTAGTGATACTCATCAGTGATCCACAATATCACACTGAACAACTGGAAAATGTAAAAAGGGTTGAGAACCTAGAAGAGTGACAGAACATTAAAGTTAAACCAAAAGGTCACATGGGTTCTCTATTAGAAGAAAGTTGAAATTATGCTCCTCCTGGGAGAAGACAGTTTCCATTTTTTATACATAATTTTTGTTTGTTTTTCCAAACTGATCCTTTTTTTCACTACTTCCTCAGCCCTCAACAGCAGAGTTCTCTCTAAAATAATACACAAATATAGACTTTGAAGAGTGCATGCATTTTCCCCTACATSTCAAAACAAGGCAATAGGAATGTCTGATGCACCTCAAATAATAATTCTTAAGGTAATTGGGATGTTATTTCCTATTTCTTATTAATAAATACCTTGATACCTCAAGTTCTTACTCCATTGGATGAGGTTAGAGAGTTTCTTTGTTCAAAAGTTCAACTGAGCATTGTTATAGCACACAAACAACAAACCAGTTATTCATATCCACCTGATACAAGGAAAATGAAACAAATCCAACAGAAATATATACAACACCACATTTGATTTGCTGCATCTGTTGTAATAAATAATCTCTTGGCTCCTCATGGAGAACACAGACATTTTATGTTTTAAATTAACTATGAAAAATAAAAGCTGACCCTTTCAAAGAATTCTGGTGCTCTCYAATGTCCTTAACTAAGGCACTGGACTGTGAACTCTGTAGAGCTTACAGCTGAGGCCTCTCTGATTCTTAGCTCTAAGGTAAGCTGGAAAGCTCAAAAAAAAGGTCCATATGATTTTGTTTTACAGTGCTGGCCTCTGGGTGAAGGTTTCTAATAGTCAGTAGTCATTGCACTTGAAGTAACTTTCAATGATAGACCTTTTTTCAATAATTTGTTACAGAAAAGGTTTTACCTCCTTAACCAGAAGCTTAAAAATGGAAGGCACTTTCACAGCAATTTCATTTACTCCATAGAATGCTTTTCTGCATTAAAAAAGAAAAATACAAAAAAAAAGTTAAAGATTTTTAATAGGAGTCTTACTGATGTCAAATCACACTAATATGAGAAAGTATAATATAAATCTGAGGCTCTCTTCTTATAATATTTTTTTCAAAAAGTGCTTTTCAGAAAACATTTACCTAGTGAAATGYCCCAACAACAAAGATAATTATTTTATACTTCAGTTTAAACTGTAGCTTATTTTTCAGGCTCTTTCACAATAAAATTTCCCTTTAAACTGTATATGGATCCAATGTTATTAATAGATCATTCTGAAAGCCAGGACGTGATTTTCATCAACCTAAGTTTAAACAAGTGTTAACTCTTACTCTGCAGTAAGACAGTATTTTCAAGGTCCTGTATCTTAGTTTTATTCTCAGAACAAATAAGGGCAAATCATGAAAGGAGGAGCAAGAAACCAAGCCCTGATGGGATCTGAGCTGGTTAAAAGACAGTGACATGAAAAAGCCCTTAAAATGAWCTGAGGGGAAAGGCTTTTATTGCAGAAAAAGACACAAATTGCCAGAAGATTAATTGAGGAGCAAGTAGATGCTTCCATCTTTAACCTGTATGAAGGTCTCATTTTCAACAAAATGAGRCATTCACTCAATTGTCTTCTGGGCTTTTAAACACTGTGAGCACAGGTAATGGAACATAAACAATTCTTCCCTCAAATACAAGTGCAATATTACCTGTAATCATGCATTCCCTTTGTCAGTCCTGTGCTGTGCTCATTATGAATTGCAGAGCAGAAGGTAGATTCATCTAGACCTCTAAGKAAAGGAAAAAGTCAATGAATTATTTAAGAAACCTGATAGCTAAAATTAAGTCTTTGGTAACTCAAAAGAGCTAGGTCTTTGCCAAGAGGTACACTGTTTTATAAAATAACAAAATTGATGGATTAATGTGTTCTTAGCTGGTTTTGTCACAACTGCAGATACCAAYGAGACAGTAAAACCAATCTTCTTGTATATACACCTTATTCTGTAGGATAATCATACCTATTTCAACCAAAATGGAGACACTTAAAAAATGAAGCAGAATACTAGCATAACTACTCTTCAAATACCTCTAAAAAGTGAGCAAGTTTTATAAAATATTATATTAAACCAATATGGATTAATATTTCCTAAAATTATCTTAATTTGATTCTAAGTAGTAATGGAAGTTTTAGAAATAATTATGAATCAATTTATTAAATGAATCTATACCATAGCTATTTTGCAGCATTTTAATATCACAATATTATCCATGACTGGGAAAAAAAACACTCTACAATTCTAGTACTTTCTTATCACCAGAAGTCTCATTTTCATAGAACTTCTCTACATRCTATGAAAGCCAATGCTGTGCTTGAGGAGGTTTGCAGATAAGAAGAAACACCTGAAACATCATCATGTTTACATCTATGGGGTTGTTTTAACTACCAAACTCAGTAAATCAGATATATCATGCCCAATATCCAGGTATTTTCTCATGGACATGCTCTTGATGCACAAGAAAATACTGGCACCTTCCAAAAGGCTTCACAGATGCCATGACAAAACCAGCACTATTCCACATGATTMTTTTTTTTATATTGGGTATCTATTCAGCTATCTATCAAAAAGGATTCAGATTGTCCCAGAGGAAAAAAAAAAACAAACAACTCTTTATTGTGCATATTTAGTCACAATTACTTCCATTCTCTATTACACAAGCAAAGCTTTAAACATCCTCACTACTGCAAAGCCTAGGATCATGTTTCCAGCAACTGCTTGTACAAGAACAGAAGATGAAATTATATCGGTAAACTGGCCCTAGTTTTACAAAGTTTCTCTAAAACATTTTAAGTTCTAGGATTTGAAAAATACTCTTTTAGGTTTAAAAATATACAGATATCTGCTAATAACTGTGTCTTTCCTCCCACTCTATCCCAAATAATTTTTCTTTTCCKGCAGAAAAAGAAATGTAATAGTGAATTTAAGAAGGCTCACTAAATGTAAGTGCTTTATATGCAAATATGCATAACTATGYGTGCAATATCCATGTAAAGACAGAGCTTCTAGCAGGATGTTCTCTGTTTTTYACACTACTGCCACAGTCTGAATTACCAGAGCATTAAAAAAAAAAAAAAAACAACTATGTGTGCTGCAGAGTTTATTATATAAAGCACTCATCAACCCACTCAGAAATTCAGTTGACAGTAGCTAAAACAAAACAGACATTCAAGGTCAGAGTTGCATCCTCTTTGGCTATGTTACCGAGTCTGAYTTAGTTCAAGAACAATTACACTTGCATTTCCTGTGTTTAAAACAGTGATCTTAATATTATGGTAATATAAAAAGAACAAATGATATGAAATTCAAGCTCTTACAATCGAATTAGTTGCCTGAGAAATCTCAATTTGCCTCCATTCTGTGTCATGCTAAGCCTTTCATTATGTGATCCAACTGTTCTGTCACTGGGTACTTGTGTTGGTACTCCTGGGTACTTGGCTGTCCAAAACGAATGTTCTTTATGATGCAGTGTTTGTGCTTAGATCACAAGAGTGCTGCCTGCTTTAAGGGTTTTACTATAAAGCCCTCTATCTCATATACTGTGTCTTTACAAGTACTAGCTTGATTCTCTACCATGGTATTAGGTTATACCAATTTTTGGTTTATAAATATAAACTGAAGAGCAGAGTAAGAAAACGTATCTTGGAGAAGGACAATTTTTAAAGACTTTTCAGAATATTTATCATTCATAAGCTCAGCTATTGCTTTGCATGTGGTATCTGCAACTTCACTCCAAGACCATTCATTCACTTTAGAGAAAAGTTACAGCAAACTGGCATTTCTACCTGACCTTGTACAATAGTGACTTAGTGCTCTAACAGTATCCAGTATGTCTGTGATCCAGTCCTTTCTCCTCTTTATTATTCAATAGCTCAAAAATCATATCCAGCTCAGCTACTGTACCTGACTAAACAAGTGGCCAGGCTCAGTCATGGCTAATACATCAAACAAATGAARGTTTGGCTTATCAGCAAGAATGTGATTGAATAAAAGCTCACATAACTTCCCAAGGCATATCTGAGATTTTTCCAGGGCTTATAAATTGGCTGAGTTATCACAAGAACATCAAAAGACACAGTAAAACAGCCACAAATGCCAAGTTCCAAGTCACTGCTTTAATGCTGGGAACAACTTTATTTTCTAAACACATGGATTCGCATGATTTTTTTCCAATACCTGTTCTTAACATAAAAGTACGGTTTCTTAATCTCATCTATGGGAACTATTCCCTTTGAACAATTTCAATTAGGAACACTATAGGCATGAAAACAGGAGCCTGCAATGCAAAATTATGAGTGTCACTACCTGCACAACTGTATTTTATGGGAGGCTTAGTATGATAAAATGCATACAAAGCCTTCAATTATTTACTCATGAACGGAGACATTTCCACCTTCCCAGATGAGGACTGCTCAGTTTTGTAATTGCTTGTTCTACAATAATGCAATAATTTCTTAAAATTGTTTTAATTGCTGATAACTTCCCATATTACTTACACACACTTTTTTTGGGAAAAAACAACATTGGCAAAGTATGTTCCTTCTAAGAGAAATTTTGGCTGTTGTGCTTTCCTTTAGTCACACTTAAGAATTTTTTCTATATGTAGTGCTTGAACCTCTCCACATGATGGTTCAATGCAGTGAACAYTGATTTAAGTCTAAAAGAGGTTTTATATATCTGATCTCAGTTTATAATTTTAATGGGCAGTTCTCAGAAATGGAGAAGCCTGTGCTCATTTAACTTGTAGCACTWTGAGAAAGCCTTATCACAGAAAGAAAAACTCTCTTCAGTCCTAACATCATGCAACATGCTGCTGGATAAAAGAAAATACAGTGCAACACAAGCTAGTACTGCCCACTAAAAGACATTTTTTTATCAGTGCAATAGACTTGTTCTTGTTACTAAAGAGTAACAAAGGATGGCTCAGATCCAGCTCAACTGCACTAAACTGTAGCAACAGACCTACACAAAGATGAGCAAAAAGGTATTATTGGGTGAATTCTCCTTCTTCCTAGATACTCCTTTTGGGTCTAGCTAAGCAAAAAAAAACAAGTTATAACATAAAAATATAAAAAAACCTAAGTTATTCCATCATAAACAAAGTTTTTGAGTGTTTATATAAGCAGTACTACTGTCCATGAACAGGTGCTCTGATTCTCAAATAACAGTCCAAGAGCAGGCAAAAAGCCTGCATAGGCATGCAGCCCATCAYCCTACACAAATCACACTTGATAAAGGCAGATTAAACAAACACCTTCCTTCCAAATTCCCACCAACTTAAAATCTCCCTGTGCTCACTATGGTACAAATACTCCATGAGCTAAAACAGCTGTTCACAAAATAACACCCACTTTTCAGCATGGTCTTATGTATGCTATTGTATTTCTTTAAARAATGCAGTTTGAAGCACAACACATAAGAAAACAGTATTCTTACCTTACAACATCAAAACTTTGAACTGAATCATTCCAAAAATACTTCACACTGTGATGTGTGAAATAACGAATCTGCAAGGGCAACAAAACATAGATGTTAAACTGGCATTACTTAACACCTCTCTTYTGACTGACTTTATTCTGARAGGTGASAGAAAGTGAATTTAGAAAAGMTTCACTGAAAAATGTATACTTTTCTTTCAACATAAYCTTTCAAGCTTTCCACRGTTTCCACTAACAGGTTATTGAGGAGATTTCTGTTCCACCCAAAGAATGAGTTAGCCTTTCAGACAAAAGTAGCAGCTCACATGTACTATACYGTGTGTGTTTATTCTCAATAGTACTTGAGAATTAGCCAGCATAGTATTGCAGKTTTACTTACAGGCAAATAAGTTTTYGAATCATTTTTATTCTCTTCTRCAGCAGATTCAGAGAAATGAACAGCATGGCCATTTGAAACCTTGTGCACTATAGGGTTAGGATTCTGTAAAGGATTGGCTCCYAAAGAAGGCATAACGCGAACCTTTGCACAAAACCATATCTTGAACTCATCCTTAAAAAGAGAGGGAGAAATGAGTTAGTTGAAAGAGCATTTAAACAGGGTTTTACTACAACAGCTGTAGCAAAATCACAGATAACAGATTAGCAGAACCCATACATAATTACAGAACATATCTGCAAGTTAGTACCAGCTACCTTAAGACTCATTTTCTCTCCGCTATTCTGAAAGTATATTTTTTGAATCAAAATATCTATTTTTTGTAGGCAATGAGTCTTGGTACTTTAAGTTTTACATATTCAGGCCTTCATGATTTAATATAGCTGCTCTGAAGTAAGAGGAACTATGGGATTGCAATKCATTCAGCTGCACCCACCCTGCAGCAAGTAACTGAGGACTTGATAAAAGATCATCACCAGGGATTGTACACAGCAATTGGGCAGGAAGAAAATCATTTGAAATCAAAGCACACTTGGGTCAGCAGTCACACCTTACTTCAACAAAGGTATCTTTGCTGAACAAGGGAGGGGAAGCCATGTTTCAGCTTACATCAACAAGGTATTTGTTCTGTAACTTTCAATGACAACAGCATTTATGCATTTGATTCTTAAAATTGAAAGCTTTATTTTGGCTATGCCCACTGCAAACTGCTGTCAGTCTTCCCACAGAGGCAGTAAAGCCACAGTCCCAAGGAGCACAGATCTGCCAGTGCTGTAGAACACCATCAGGACTACAGTGCAGGTAAGGACTGGTGTACACTGCAAAGTGGCAGAAGCACATCCCYCTGTACACTCACAGTTGTTCTCAGCAGAACCACTTCACAGTCCTTAAGCGTAGTCCTTTTGCACGTTGCTTTCACACGCCACTGAGGCATCCAGTAGAGGAGGAGGAGAAGAAAGCCACCAGAACAGATCACTCCTACAGYAACTAGCACCAGCTTCCAGCGACACAGATCATAGCCATAGATCTCCTGCATGSAAGTAGAAACAACTAATGAGGACTCTCTTAATTACTCTGGCTCAGGATGCCAACATTAATTTTTCATAATGTGCAGTATTTAAAGCAGATCAAATTTCAAAACCATTTCCTCTTTTTTTTTTTTTTTCTTCTGGGGGAAGGAAAGATTTGAAACACTTAATACATGATGGAGTGGAAGCATTACGGAACACTGCTTTGCTTAGCCAGAAATACAAACATCAGTAAAAGCCTGACAGAGGCAGATCATCCACACTGTGCAAAACATTTCATTGCAGGACCTGTCTCCTCTCTGCACTGCTCCCCAAGGACTGAGGCCGCCACACAACCTGTCTTAAATCTCAGTGAACAACATTTTTGACCATGTCACAGCACAAGTCAGATAAACATTTAAGAGCAGAAACATGTGGTTTTGTCAAATGCTGATTTTCTGACATAGCATTTCATTAGCTAGCATTCACAGTTTGAATTACTATTGCARGCTGAATTTTAAACATTCTGAAAAAAAAAAACGAACACCACTTTTTAACAGACTCTTGCTTATTTTGCCTGCCATTTAACAAGAAATGCTACTTTACAAACTCCAAGCCACACTCAAAGGTTCTGTAACTTGCACCAGTTAGAAAAATCCTCTCCTCCCATTCTAAAAGCCCCAAGTATTCAGTGTGCAAGCACCAACTTAACTTGATGACAGCCAGGAACAGAAAATAATTTAGTGACTTACTGGATACTGTATTACATTCCTGAGTTTCACATTACATCATTAGATTATATTTCCTGCTGTAAAAGGGTAATGAAATTTCCCATTGAGTCCCACCCATTGTTCATATTGACATGAACTTGGATTTTTTTTTACTTTGCATTAAGCAGTGTTAGAAATTGTTTAAACTCCTTTGCTAAGAAAAGGCTTTTCAAAAGTTTGTTTTGCTGCCTTTTCAGATGACAAAAAACAGAAATAAAGCCCATTCTCTGTTAGCCCCAAAACACTCCTTAGCAATAAAAATAGGAGACTGAAAGACAGTGARAGAAGTTAACGATTTTTTTTAGGACAAAATAAAATTATTTCCTCAAGAAAAAATTATTTTAGTGATCAAGCCATAAGCATCTCCTCCTGTTCTAAGATGCATTTGCTTACTCTCTATTACAGCTATCTAGTGAAGAACTGCTTTCCTAGCACTGTGCACAASGACAGAACAARGACTTCCATTCACAGAAAMC